ACGACGACATGACTTCCACATAAGATCTCATGGATTAGATAGTCCCACAATAACAAATCTACAATTTCGAGATAAGGTTTATCATTATAGTAGCAAAGATAAATGTACTACTGTCTTACCATATCATAATTCTACAGATCACAACAATGAAGGCTGCATTTACTTCGCCAATCCGTGTTTTCACATCTGCTAAATATCTTCCCTGTTTACCAATGATGCTGACTGGGTACATGGAGGTTTCCAACTCTTCTAGAGCTTCTCCGTTAAGTGTTAATAGACTGGTGTTCTCTTTGTTGAATTCCAGGATGTTGGTTTACCCTTGTGTATATTGTAGCCTACTAAATATAATATATTTCTGCAAGGGCAGGCACATGCTACTTTTAGTCATGGTCTGAAAATTAAATTTATTGGTTTACAGTATGCATGTTAAATAAATATAGTCCATTAAAGTGAATGTCAGTTCATTCCTTCCGATATTCTGAGTAGTCTTCAAAATATTTTCCAAAGTGGAATCGCGTCCACGTTACACACCAGATCCAATCTAGGCATAATTGTGTTAGGATTTTGGTCGTGCAAAGTATTATTGCAATGCAACTTATAGTCATTATGAAGTAGACTTGTAGAGGGCTCGGTATTAGCTATGACCTTAAGAAAACACATACTTACTGATGCAGAGGCTTCTGCCACACTGGTTGCTTCGACCACCATTTGTTGATGTATATGAGCTAGAAGGAACAAGTCATCCAAAACGTCAAGATTGTCTAGTTGCTTCCGTGCTTCACGTCAAATGTCGAGGTTTTCAGAATTCGGCCAGCCACCAGAAGGAAAAGAAATTGGGAGAGTGAGCAGCCTTGTCTAAACCGCCCATCACTTGAAATGCATCTGTCAGCTGTCCTCCATGCACAGCTTTAAAGTGTAATCCATCGTCTAAATTCCGTACATGACCAGTCTCTCTAGCTTACAATATTTCCCTGATAGTTTCTTCGTTGTGCCACATAGATGTCTCATATTTCCTTCTGTTGCAGCATTTTAGATGTCTTTGCTAGGTCTTCCACGTATTTCCGCCTGTCGGCTCTAACACTCTTCTTCACTTGCTTGTTTGCTTCTTTGTATTCGATCTGTGCCTCGACGTTCTCTGTTCTCTTTAGGCTGTTGTTGATTGCTATCTTTCTGTTCTTTCTTTCTTGAGTCTTGCCTAGAGTTTCGAAAGAGAACCATTTTTTATGACAATACTTCTTGAGGCCAAACACCTCCAGACACTTTGAATTTTATGCTTGTTTGATTTCTTTCCAATTGTCCTCCATAGTAGTTTCTTCTTCTTTGAGTGGATCTAGTAAGGCTAATAACATTTTGTCGGGAAGTATCTTGTATTGTCTGAGTTTATCAGTGCGTCGAAGGAAAGCAGTTTTAGTCTTTTGTAATGCTCTTCCCGATCTCTCACATTGTCCTGACATTAAATGTACCCACAATAATTGTTGCTCTTGTTGTTAGAATTAGTATAAGTCTCATGTCTTCCAAAGAATCTCAGCCTTCACCATGAGATCTCATAATTCCTCTGAACAAAGATCCTTCAACTCCCAGAGTATGGCTTAATTCGTTCAATTTGTTCATTATGGCCAGCACTTTTTAGCAAGGGTGTTTTCCAAGAGGGTCGACGACGTTCACCGAGCCATGAATCTGTCGAGCGCTTGTTGACAGTATATCGACATGTCAACGTGGCTTGCAGATCAAAGGTTCCGTTCCATTAGTCTTGCCACAGCCCAGTTCAGTATGGGTAACTTGACTGAAATGCTGCATCGAGTTGTGCTAGAGTTTTTGTTTGATGACGACTGCACATAATGACCATACATTATTCACATATTTAACGAACGTCCGATAGTTATATTTCGTTTAGGGAATATGGTGACATACTTTCACAAAACGGATCCTAATGACCACACAAAACTTAAGAGAGTTAACCAATCAAATTTATCGTATACTAATTCTCTAATTTCACCTTCTTCCCACAATAAAGTGATAGCACCAACTTTAAAACTTCGTACTTTGTTTTTTAATACTACATTCTCTTATATGGAGTCTCTGACTTCATTTCACTCTAACAAGAGATAATATGAATTTACTCTAATTTATTATACCTCTGTCTGTTTTACTACAAAATGTTAAGCAACGTTTGGCGTTCATATACAAGTGCGTTGCTGCTCTTCTGTTTCTCTTTTCTCTCTCTTCAGAACCTCGCTCTGAAGGCACAACTATGGAACTTCTGACGTCTGGAACAAACTTGACGTACGTGCCTCCTCGAGGCCATAGTTTCCAGCAAGCGCTCTACGAGTCTACTTTACAGCAACTATAAACTTAATAAGTTGGGAAGTGTGCTATGAGCCAACATATGTCGTAATTAGTAGATCATGCCTGTAAAAATGGCATGTACCTGTTCATGCAGAAATATATTATTATTATTACAAGTAAAGCCTAAAAATGACAATTCTGATAAGAAATCTCAATGTTATCTGAAAAACGTGGCTAGTTTCACGTTTCCTTTCATTCATATTATTGGTAAGAAAGATCGTAGGTAATAATCTCTTCATCAACTTTATTCCACTAATAAATATAACACAGTCATACTGAATTTTATACAGAGCCCAGATATTTACGTAATTGGTGTGCTCTGTTTTCCGAAACTATTTAAGCGTCGGTGGGTGCATGAGAGACAACTGCTGAAGTTAAATTGGATAGAATATTAAAGATACCGGTCTCATTAAGCTTGTACTTAGGAAGTAAATGGTTTCACGCTAACATTTCGTATGAAGTGAGATTAATCTATCCAATATTAAGCATTCAGATATTAATTCACTTTTTCAAATGTAGTGCAGGCTGATGGTCGAACATGACTTATCAACCGTGAGCTTATTATTCATGTGCATTAACTTGAAATGAAGTGGTTGTCAGGGAATTCGCTGTGTTTAAGTTATCACACATTAGAAGACAGTCCACAGTATCAAAAATTTGTTGTCATATACGTTGACAAGGTATATTTGTTGAAATGCGGCTAATTGGGTTAGTATAGTATCACTTGATTGTTTATATAGGTCTTAGCCGTCTGTAAGAACTTGGACAGCAAAAGAAGAAGGTGTAACAACTTAGATTTGAATGTTAACAGTTGGCCGAATCCATCTCGAATATCTATCTACGCCATTACCTTGTGCAGGTGCTTTATTTCCCACTGTCTTATATTGAATGTTGGAGACTTTGTGTGTTTGAAAAAAGAATGTCGTCCTCCAACAATTCTGTTTCGCAATCGGAATAAAACCTACTGCGAATAACAGTCTATTTTCTATATATAAGACGAAGGGAAACTCCCGGCACTAAATGAGATATCTTCTGTAACCTGTCAGTAACAATCATAATCCCTCGACAAACGAGGGGCTGCTCAAAGATTCTTATTGGTAAAGCATTTATGTATTCTCTAAGCTAAGCTGATCTATGCCCTAATTTACCTCCCACCTACATTAAATGTCCTCAATATACACTTGACACCAAGTCTGTATAACTTGACGCAATAGCTCGAGTTTTGTCGCTTGTATTCATTCCTTTTTCTCTTCTGATATCGTGCAATGGGCGGTTAGTAGAATGGAATTAAGGAGGTCACATTGCCATTTTCGGAGCCTTATATCTGAGACAGCCGAAGGCTTGAGTAAAGCCAAATTGTCAGATTTGGATCTATTTAAGTGTGTGCTACTTACACAGACAAATATATGTAGTATGCGTCGATATATGAGAGTAAGATTCCTACCAACAGAAGAGAAACGTGAGAAGATAAAGAATAGCAGAAGCAGATTGAATAATGACAGTAATGAATGAGTGACGTAGCTTGTTGGAGATACTTTAAGGAAGAAGTAAGATTGATATATTCAGTTTTTTTTCATATTTTATGAATACAGTGTATGATTTTGATTACCCTACTGTTTCCTTTCGATACACCATCACTACTTTAAAGGTGTTAAGTGGAATACAATTAGGCACTGCGCGACAAATAGCAAATAAAATTGCTTACCACTAGATCTAATGAGCGTGTCCAGCGTGTGAGACCGAAATTGGTGAATGATTTTTCTAAACTCCCTTATGATGAGCGTTTAAAACGTCTAAACCTTTTCCCCTTGTCGTATTATAGGACACGAGGTGACCTTATACTGGCATTTCGTATCTTTAACTATGATTTGGGTGGTAATATTTCTTATCTTTTTGCTCCCTCCAGCACCAATAGTCTTCGAGGTCATAGCAAGAAGGTTCACAAACCGCGATCTAATAGACTTAAAGTGGGGTCCCGTTTTTCTCATAGAGCAGCCAATGAATGGAACGCCCTGCCCGAACAAGTAGTATCAGCCCCATCAGTGAATATTTTCGAGGAGAAGCTGGACCCTCGCTGGGAAGCCTTCTATCAGGATTAATGCAGGTTCACCAACCTGCTATCCTTATTGCTGAAGACTGACATTCACTGACTCAACTGACGGGTGATTTCGCCAGAACTCAGTGATATTTCACTGACCACACAACCTGTATAATTGAAGTATGCCAACCCAGTCAAATCACAACTCACAAATATATGTATACTTGGAAAGCTATCGATATGTGGAGAAACATTTAATCTGAGCTGGTTAGTGGGTACAAAGAATGAGTAGCATGGCGTTCTCGCTCGAGACCTGGTGTTGATGTGTGGCCGAGTACCTTCAGCTAAGTGTGTCCACAGAAGCTAATGAGGTCAGCATCAATGTCAGAGACTTACAGAACTATTAATTTAAGGGATTAATTCAACGCTACGATGGTGATTGAGAATTGCTTCTATATTATTGAGGATAAAGAGTGAGTGGGTTGTAAAGTGTTTCCTCAGTCTAAATTTAAAAGAAATATGTATTTTAATGTGTGTAAATAAGTTCAAGTTTCGGCAAAGCAAATGCTTGTTATACTAAACTTTGTATGTATTACTGTGAATCGACCTAAAGTACATTGGACCAATCGCAATATAGTCTTTGTGGTCAATTTCGTTTCTCAGTTTATTTCCGAAGGTCGTGTGCTTTTTGTAAGTTCAGTGGTTTGACTGTACGTTCGTTACCGAATTTTGGTAGTTACATCATTATCTATCTATAATAAAATTTAAGTGCATATATCAGCCCTCAACTGTTTTTTTTGTAATTGTGTTATGCCATATACCACTTGACTTGATTAACTTTACCATATAATTCCCCAAATGTAAAACTATAAGTAGACATCTACTAATTTTGAAAACATGTTAAATTCACTGTATCTCTCATGACAACCACATAATGCAAACTCAATACATCCACTATGGTGCCTCAAAATACAAATTATAATTATAATTCTAATTTGTATATTAGGTTTGTTGCGTGTATGTTCTGCGTCTTTCATAGAGCATGGATAATTTTCGGATTGTTTTCTACGGAAACAATAACTTGTCCATTTTGAAACTCAATTAACTTTCCTGTAGAATGTCATTATTTTTCTTGTGAATTTACAACACCTATCATTCCATCTCGCTTTAATTTTTCTGTTTATTGTCAGTTCCAAATCTACGTTATGGATACAAACTCCTTACCGTCAGACATCAGACCGACCGGTGCAGTTGTTTCTACAACTGAATTTGCCGATGGAGGTCAGGTGATAAAAAATATTAATTTTGGAGATACAGTCGTTTCCATATGTTCTATAAAGACTGAAAACGAAAGTACGTGACATTCATTTGTTTCTGTTTATTGCTTTTATATCCACCTTTAAAGTGACATATCTTAACTGAAAGCAGTGGTGCTCAGTGTTGATATTCAAAACCCATTCTTTTCTGGTTTTTTACTACATTTACAAATCTGAGTTTCCAAGAATATAACATGTATGGGTGGAGAAAATGTAATCGTCACTCTTAATGCCAGTTTACGAAGATAAAAGTTACAAGTCACCAATATTTTGTCAAAGGTTGATAGTACTTAATATTCACTTAGGAGAACTAGCGTTTGCACATGAACATCTTATTTCATCACTTTCATTTGAAACTAACAATTTTCGGACTTCATTATTACAGTTTACAAGGTTTTGTAGGCTATAAATTGCTGTCATCTAATAAGTGTTGCTGGTATTCTGAGAAACAAGATTAACAATCAGATCAATATTGCCAGTTGTTTAATTTAATGGCAAGACAGTCGTTTCAAGTACTCTTTTCATCAAACTTAGTGCGAGATTTCATTGATTACACCCTAGTAGATGACCTAAATTCAAATCATTTTTTGTCCTTCCAGGAGAAATCAATTTGAAATCCTCCTGAAGCTTGAAATGGTTTAGTATTAGACTGGTAACTTTACAACTAAATCTCAGGAAACAAAATTCATGGATAGTCATCTTCCTGAGACGTGAATTTTTCCCGTTATATAGATGTATTTTACTAGGCTTTCTTGTGCTACAAATGACATGTAAGATTACCTTCGTTTACTTCGTTAAGAATTGTTGAATAAAGTCAGTGAGTCAGCTACAACGTAGGACCAGGCACATATATGCATCGGTCCAAGTTGTCATACCTCATTAACGCAACAAAATGGACACCGGATTCACAAAAGTAGTTAATTTAGAGGTGGTAATATATAAAAGAATAAAATTCTAACTCGTATCTGATTGCTAGAAATAAAGTCTTTAGAACCCATGAGTAACTAGTACAAGTCTCCGATTCAACTATCTAGCCTTTAAGGAAAAAATCAGCTTTAATCAAGATGGGATTTGGTTATCGATATAACATAGAGTCTGACTCAATCTACGGTAAACATATTTTTGGTTTACCTAGTCCGACCAGACCAAGGAGTTAGTAAAATTGAGTGAATTCCGATTAACTTATTGTGGCTACAAATCTTGCATACCCGCAGGGTATTATTGATAGAAAGATAAATATACCTTCGCAACTATTTATTTGAGACTATGTAGTTAATTTTTTTGATCGAAAGCGACTATTATTACTATACTAAACATAAAGTTACCTTACAGACCCACAGTTTCATGTTTGATTGTGAAGTATTCTAAATGAACTTCGTGAAAATGATTTTCTGTTGGATTAATTGTTTTGTAACTTGATGGGTATATTAGATTTTGATTTAAATATTCAGTTAAGATTTTGTTTTCAAATTTGTTTGGGAAACTACTTGGTCGCTCTTCAATTAGCTCTCAGATTTGGATGGAACACCCTAAATATTTGTGTGAAATATAACTGAATACAGATAGAATATTGTTATAAGTATTCTTGGGATCTTAACCTGAAATATAAGCTATTAGCAAGCATTTAGGTCAGGACTTAAATTTTTAAGATGAAAGGAACAATATTTGACAGGTTGAATTAAAAGATAATTCATCTGTTTATTTGTAGTCATGACTTTACCAATAGATTTCCCGCACCTACTCCTACCCACCATAGGAAATCATGGTACACGGTGATCGGGCATACACAACACATCTCAGTCACTTAAATGGATGGAATATCATAGCTTCATTGTAATACATGCTCTTATTGCTTTTATATTTACATAAATTCGTGTACTTCAGCTAGAATTTACAGTCCACGTCGTTTATCTCATTTGTCATTCCCTTTTTTCTACTTGTAATTTATAAATCCTTTCGCTAAAATTATTCTTTCTCTTATACATAATTTGTGATGTGGTTGACTACTTTCTACTTCTTACGAATGACCCAGACGTCACGAAATTTAACCATAGTCATTTATCCCTTTGTGTTCCGAATATACGGAGCTCTCTAAGTAATTATTTTTTATTGTTTTATTTACTTGACCTGTTCATCGATCCTTGTTTCAGTATGTAGATCACTTTGGGTTCCTTGTGTTTGACGAATTCTTTGATAGGAAAGGACATAACTACAGGCTGTTAATATATTAATCTCACTGTATTTATATTTAAAGTTTCGTATTTATGACATTCGGGACCCATTTTGTAACCTTGAGAATGCATTAGGAACGTTCTTGTTTTGGATTTTGTTTCAAATTAGTATTGTTTTGTCATATTTGTGTTCAGGATATCAATAAGTCTTTTCTATTAGTCCGGACGTAATTGACATTCATCAACCAATTAACGGTTATCATGTAATACCCTAAAATGAACTTCAGTACCACTCACCATAGGCGTTATTTTTCACTAAACGGAACTATGACATCTGAATACTCAAAGTTGATTAGAATGTTTCCAGGTAGGTCAATTATGATGAAGGGATCATATCTAAGAGTATCTATCTATGACAAAATAAGGTAAAAAAATAATGAAAGTAACTCCAATGAAATCTTTGTTGAGTAGACAGCTCACAGTATATTTCAATTTGTCATAAACAATAAGGAATCCAGCGCAAATGTGCATAGAGTTAAGTCTTCTCATCCTACCAACATAGAAGAAAAATTAACAATCTCCAAAACACAGTAGTAGAATGATAGTGTTAATAATAATAAAAAGGTTAACATAGAAAATATGGCTCTAAAAGGCTGAAAAAGGTAGAGGAATAGAGTGATATTTAAGTTCAATAACTAGAAGAAAGTGGCCAATGAATGTGTGAATTCACCGCAACTGATTGTAAGCTGTGTTACCTAGGTTATGCATCCACTAAATATAATTATCATGTGGGCTCCAATCAAGTAGTTAATACCGAAATATTTTAAAGTGATAGCCAATGACTTCATAAACTGATAAAATGTCTTGGTTTAGCTGCTGTTAGCTCTCTTCAAACATCCCAGTCCTAATATATTATAATTACCGAGTCAGGGGCGGCGACCTAAGATGCACACCACATACCACACTCACTTCGGTCGATAAAGAATCATAGTAGTCATCAATCATTTAGTTAGTGGATGTACAGCCATACTATAACCATTGGTGGTGTTTGCCTTCGTTTTAGGCCACATAGAAAGATCACCTTACTGTTAAAACTAACCAAGAATAACCAACATAGTCTTGACTATACTCACAAAATTAATTCTTATCTAAAACTTTTATATCGAATTGTTTATTTACTGAATAGCATTATAGGTGGACAAAACAAATCAATTCCACCAACGAATTATAGTTTGTTTTATTCATTTCCCTAGTTAGTTTTACCAGACAAAAGTCATGTGATAATTTCTAGGCCATTTCTGACTACTTAATGGCCGAATTTTAAGTGGGACAGTGGTACTGATCTTTGTATTGTACGTAACATAATAAAATAAAGCGATATCCATTAATCTAGGGGTTTTATAACTAGTATTTATATCACATGATTTCCAGCATTTTATTGTCCAATCGTAATATCGAAAAGCAGACTATTTACAAATGGTTAACCAATTAAATTATTCTATGCAATGGATTTTTTTGGTAATCTAAGTTGAAGGTAAAGTTCGAGCTGAAAGATGTTACTACAGATTACCGTAATAGTACACTCGGACTAATTTATTATGACTTGGTTATCATTCGACTAATACACCAGTTGAGCTATTTTTACAGATATTTGCTATGGTCAAAGTATGTTTAACTTGTTTTGTCCATTTTTTTTAGTTAACCGATCAGTATATCAAGAGCAACTCACATGTTTATTTTATTTATGTGTATATTCCCATTTTTATTGTCATATATCCCTTGAATACGATGACTGTAAATTTAATACAACCTCTTTAGTTTGATAGAAATATGATCACAAGATTCTCATCAATGTTGCTCTGATCTGCTACAACCTATCCATCTACATAAATAAAAGTCGGCCGTTTATGGATTTATTTTGCAAAGCCAATATGACAATTAACCGAAATTTTCTGTAATATTGACTCAGAAGGTTTACTATATTAATATAAGCTATCTAATGAATTTTATGCTTACCAAGATTTATTTGTTGAGGATGTGAATATTGTAAAAATTTGTTCATCTTTTGTTTTCTGTTTATTTCGATTATGAATACAATTATTTCTGCTTTTCCATAATCTTTAGACTCTCCACTCTGTAAAGACAATGTCTGTTTTGCCGATACAAGTCCTAAGTCAGTACTAAATGCTCCAACTCTATCTACATGTTGTGATGACAACAACAACGGTTCTTTGTGTCTAATACAATCGGCATCTAGATTAGATTTAACTCCACATACAGATCAGTCACCCTCTCACTGGCGAAGACTAAAAAAGCGTACTTCGGACATACTTGTAATGCAAAATAAGAATCCAACAACTTCAAGCATTCTCGAATCTCAGATCTCTTCTTTCTCTATAGCTACGTGTAATTCTGGAACTAGTTCATTTTTTCCAACTATTACAAATACTGTCAGCGCTTGCGGCAATAGTGGTTCTAACAATGTAGAGATGTCAAATTCTGATATGGAGTTGAACAAAAATTGTTTGTACCAAAGTTCTCCATCTTCAACTTCCGCTATTATCCCGTTGGCTAATGCATCTCTTTTGTTAGATCCCGGAAAATTCTATCCACCCAATTCTAAGTGGATTTCACCCGGTGCAAGTGGGTCTTCGATTGCAGCCGCATTGACAGCTGTAAATATACAACAAAGATTTAAGAAAGTAAGCCCGAATTTTTCATCATAAATAACTCCTGTAAGTTTTGATGGTTTGATTGTTTGATAGTAGCTTGCTAGCTGAAGGTACTCTCTGTCAGTTCTGCGCACTTAGATTGTATTTTTTGCCAATATCTAGTAATCTTTAAGGTCACTAAAAATGATGATTATTAGACCCAATGTGAACGCATCGACGTTGAACACTAAAAAAACTATGGATTTAAGCAAACACACTTCGTATCATAAATAGTAAGTATTTAAGCCAAAAGACGAGGGTATATGTTAAATATCAGAATTCTCAAGCTCATAAAAACAGTACATTTTACTCCTTCACAATCGATTCAGAGCCGTTCCATATAGGGTCTTTTATATCTAATTCTTATCATTCCGACGATTCTACCTGATAAAAATTTCATCTAGATGATTTACACCAAATGTTGTTGAGCTTATGAACCACTTTGGTCTTGTTACATGTAGCTTCTCCAGACCCAACCCCACCTGAAAAGACATCTCATCGAGTTAGGTAGTGATTAAAGATGCTCAACACAAAACACTTATCAATCAGTATAGATTCACGACCCCGTTGACCCAAATATCACCGTAGCTTAGAAATCAAAACACTACCAGTCCTTCACCTTGTGGTGGTGGACACGGAGAGTCCACCTAGGAGAGTTGGAAAACCCTGATTCCAAACCAATGGTGCACATGGGCTCCGGTACCCTGAGGGAAAAATGGCGTACGAACCAATCGTTGGTCACCGGATACCATGGGACCGCATCTCCTTACGATGCCCCACTGCCTTGTGGATCAGACTTTGAGGTTGAAGGCTCCGGGTGTGGCCCCCTAAGAAAACCACCTGCTTTGGTTTTGGTAATCGGGCAGTATCACAGCCCTCACACATATCAAATGAGATTTGTGTGGCGCATATGTATCTGGTGCCTCCTTGTACCAATATTTATGTGTTCAAATAAATAAATAAATAAGCACTTAGACCAATACACAACGTTATTTTAGGTTTTCCGTCCCTGACTTACTTTTACCCATCTTACTGTTGGTTAAAAACTCCTCTCACCTTTGATTTTGTAACACTGTATTAACTAAAGCGTACTTATTTACTGTGTTGACTTATATAGAATTTACTTATCAACGAATAATAACCTTTAATAATAATAGTATCTTTCCAAACTATCAATTTTATTACTGTCGCGTTTTGCCTTTTTGGAAACAAATTGTCTTTAGAAAGTGTAACGATATTTTTGATTAATTAACTACTGGAATACGATCAAACTTGAACGATTATTTAGCTAATGGTTAGTCGTTTACAAGTTGTATCGACGCTTGCACAGATTTCTCCTGATAAGAAACTTCCATTTTTCTGTGAAATCATCATTTTATGTTTCACGCAGACTGATTAAGTTCAAGACAATGTTTTTTCTCTTCGCCAAGCACTTACACGTTACTATAACTATTCCAGATCAACAATCATCAGATTTTTTGACATTCAGTCTACGTTCAATTTACTGGGCAGTACAATGATCTAGATTAAATAATGCGTCTGAAAGTTTTGTTTTTATTCCAAAAAGCTCTACATAAAAACTCTTTAGGGTAAAAAACGGACACACTACCACTTCATTTCATTCACAATTGATTGATCACTGGGTGGTGATCAATGTCATGCTTGTCTAGTCCTTGTTAGTGCAGATCGAATGCTATCGATCATGTTGCAATGTGGCCACCAGTCTAGGTGACTCGACACTGTGGGCGCCATGTATTAAGATTTAGATGTTGGTTGGAGGTAGTCAACAGGAAACCCTGGACCCGGGTTTCGTGCTACTTGGCACTCGTCAGCAAGGTGTACCTGTAATCTTGAGGGAACTGGTGCTCCCTGGCGGGTTCGATCTCAGATAGCTCAGTGGTAACGTCTCTGACTGTGAAGCTGGGTGACACGAGATCGAATCCGCCAGGAAGCACCAGTTCCCTCAAGATTACAGGTACACCTTGCTGACGAGTGCCAAGTAGCACGAAACCCGGGTCCAGGGTTTCCTGTTGACTACCTCCAACCAACATCTAAAACTTCATTTCATTGTTTAAAATTAGCTGTGGTGTTAAGAAGTAGGGTTGCCAAATATAATCATTGTTCTCCAATTTTACCATCAATGTCGTTTTGGAAATTCTTTGGTGCTCCATTGTACCGAACGTTTTCCTCACCGAATTTTTATTCTATGATATCGTCAAAATTTTACTTGTTAACAATTTGGTAATTGTCAATTTAGTCGATGTTTTTTCGAATAAAAAACCTCTATCTTTTAAAATGCTTCTACATAATTAGTATATGTGCTGTTCTGATCATATATAGGTTCTGTTACTACTCATAAACTTATTATGGGTGACTGCTGTTCTAAATTAAAAAGGCTACTTGTTCTTGGCTCTAGCATTTAAAGATTCTATCTAACCTAATTTTTGTATGAGTCAGTCAACTGGAATGTCGCATTTTTGGAAATTACGACCACAATTTCGCAAACATTTATAATATTCGTATTAATAACAAGAATAATTTTAGAATGTGTTACGTTTTACCTACAGACATAAGACGATTTCACAGCTACCGTACCACAAATGATGGTCAGTAATTTAAGAAAATCTAACGTCTATAAATGACACGTTGTAATATGTCTTCACTTGTGTACTCACTGCATACCCCCAAACACCCTGGTACGGCTGAGGGTGGGGAGAGTTATCTATCCCTCTATGGCCACGCGTATACAATTACTGCCAGGGAAGTCCTACTCACTGCATTCTCGTGGCGGAGATGTTGTTTACGAAATTAAGAGAACGGAAAGCGAATGTCTAGCGCTTTAGCCGGGTTGATAAACACGTAAGATCCACCTAGGGGAGTTGGGAAACAATGATTACAAGCCATTGGTGTACACGGGCACCAGGATCCTAAGGAAACATGGCGAATGAATCTGTTGTTGGTGAACGGCTACCATAGGACTGAATCTCCTGACGTTGCTCCACTGCCTTGTGGATTAGACCTTCAGGTCAAAGGTTCAGGGTGTGGCCCTCTATGAAAACCACCTGCTCCGGTTTGGGAACCCGGACCCATCCCAGCCCTTGCATAAATCGAATGACTTATGTGGCGCATATCTATTCGGTACCCCTGTGTACATAAATATATAAAACTCGATTTACAGAGTTAAATGTTGCCTTTTGGTAAAGAAAAACTATAATCGTTGAACGCCGGAAAGCATGCCTGTGTTCCAGAACCTGACGAATGGTGAATATGTGGCCGATGCAACCACGACCAGGTCTGAAGCCAGCTTGATTCTCTCGTGTTTGCAGTTAACGAGTCTTTGTTAAGCGTCCGACAACAATTGAGGCTAGTATTCTATATGCTATATTAGTTAATCTAATCCCTCTATGGTTATCACAGGATGATTTTGACCCTTTCTTATATATTGGGACGATAAGTGATTGTGACCAGTAAGATGGGATCACGTTCAACTCCCAGAGTTTAGCTAAAATATTAGTCAATGTAGCCGCTAAAATTAGACCACCATCCTTAAAGACCTCTGGAGCCAATCCATCTGGACCAGTTGCTCTTCTCGTTTCAGATTAATTATAGCCTTTATACTTCAGATAGAGTTGGGAGATCTACTTCAATGTTCCATTCATACCGTCTGGTAATGGAGGGTAGTTGTGTAGGAGCTGAAGGCCAACTGAACTGCTCCTTAAAATGTTCCGCCCATCGTTCTAAACGTCTAAAATGGGAGCAGCTAAGAGTGTCGTCTTTTTCCGAGATGGTCTCATTTACATTTGACTTATTAATTCCAGTTTCTTTTATTAGTCTATAGAGCTGTCTTGTGTTCCCTATAGCCGCCGCCTATTCCATCTATTTGGCTTTCATTGGCCACCACTTCTCACGGTCATTCCTTAGACTTTTGCCTAACCTAGATCTGATTTGTTTTCGCTCTTCATCGTGTTCAGAGCCTGGCGGGATGAGTTTACGAGAATCCATCAATGCAATAGACTTAGAAGAAATCCATTGGTGTTTTGTAACACTTTGGTTTCAATCACTAACAGATGTCACTGCTATTTCCACAGCTGATTGTATATTTTTACAAGCAACATCAGGGTCAGCCTCGTTTTCAGAACTACCTAAGTGTGACCTCAGTTGTTCCTGGAACCTACTTTTGGTTTTCTCGTCACTCAATTCAGTTCTAATGGGTCTTTTTACTGTGGCGCAAGCAGATGCGTGCCGGTATTAAGGCGTGGTCGGAGTCCAAGCAGGTACTCCAGAATGAGTGACAATCTTCTACCGACCCTCTCCAACGATGACTGATGGTAATATGGTCTATTTGAGTCAGTCGTTGGTTTGGTGCAGGGGGTCGCCATGTTAGACGATGTCTCTCCTTATTCTTAAAATTAGTGTTTGTTAAAAATAAACGATTGTCTGAGAATATTTGCAGCAGACGATCACCATTATCTGTTTGCTGAACCGGGATACCGAAGTGCCCACATAAATGTCTTTCTGTTTGGTTTAAGCTACCTACCTGGGCATTAAAGTCACCTGCTACGAGTACTATGTCTGAACGTTTAGCTGTCTGAAGAAGTTCAGAGAGCTTTCTGTAAAATTCATCTTTCACTTCATCTGAGCTGCAGTCAGTAGGAGCGTAGGCAGAAACGACAAAAAGGCAACGACGTGTGTCCCTATCCTTCCGGAGCCATGCTGAGATTTCGTCACACACCAGAGCACAAGGGCTGATGAGACTTCCAAGATAAGTGAAGCGGTCGACACGCTCAATTACTTCACTCCCTATCATTAGTTCGGGTGTCGATGCAACCCAATCCTGAAGCAACATTTTGCATTTCGAGGGAGAGAATCGCATCCCGAACATGCTTGCATTGTTGCTTAGAGTGGTCAGAAGACTCTGCATTTTGTCAGCGTGTTCACCAAATAAAACTATGTCATCAGCATATTCTAAGTCAACAAGTGAACCTCCTGGTAGAAGTTCAACCACTGGAAATTTAGATGAGTAGAATGTTATCTCTAAAAGTACGTCGACCACAAAGTTGAACAAGAATGGGGAGAGTGGACAGCCCTAACGAACACCACTTGAGGTAATCAATTCTGATGACAGTTCGCCATAAGCTCTCACTCTACCAGTTGTGTTCGAGTAGAGAGCCTGAATAAGGTTAATGTACTTCTTTGGTACTCCTTTCAGTGTCAAACACTGCCATAGAACATCACGATCAACAGAGTCGAATGCCGCCTTAAGGTCGAGAAATACTACCATTGTGGGGCGTCTAAACATGTGTCTGTGTTCTAGAACCTGACGCAGTGTGAATATTTGGTCTATACAACCACGTCCAGGTCGAAAACCAGTCTGGTTTTCTCTAGTCTGCTCTTCACGAGCTTTGATTAGGCGTCGAAGTATTATTGAGGCTAATATTTTAGACACTATATTATTCAAACTGATTCCTCTGTGATTAACACAAGAGGAATTTTGTCCTTTCTTATAGACTGGCACAATCAGTGATTGAGACTAGTCAGATGGGATTACGTCCAGTTCCCAAATTCTACCTAAGACCTCAGTTAATCTCACTCCTAATATTGAACCATCATCCTTAAAAATCTCAGGAGTAAATCTGTCAGGGCCTGCTGCTCTCCCTCGCTTCAGATTTCCTATGGCTTTTTCAACTTCGTAAAGAGACGGAGGACCTACATTAACTTGCCACTCAGGTTGACTAGGGATCGTGGGAAATCGAAGTGTGGCTGAAGGCCAGTTGAACTGATCCCTGAAGTGTTCTGTTCATCGATCCAATCTCCTGGATTGAGAGTGTATAATATGTCCATCTTTCTCTGAGAGTGTTTCGCTAACAGTCGGTTTCCTAATACCAGTCAAAGTTAGAAGGTTTTACAAGATTTCTATATTTTCTTGATGATCAGCGCTAGTAAATCATAAACAATCCATTGGACTAAATAGCAGTCAATAACACAAAACAAGGTACGCTTCGTAAAATTCAATAGGAAAAGTTAAACCATTTACTAATATGATTAATTTTTTATTGATTACATTCACCTTATCAGATAAAAGTTAATTCTGAGTAAATTAAATGGAAAACAAGTGATAATGATAAATGCTATCTAATAATATTTAACAATAATCACCATAAATTGAATAAATTGTATTTGGTCTACTGTCGATAGCTTCCTTCATTTTATCTATTTCTAACTTGTGCAATTTTAAGGGAGATGTAGTCAAAACACCTAATGGTGTAAGGAAAAAATTCAATGGAAAACAATGGCGCCGTTTATGTAGTCGCGAGGGTTGTACCAAAGAATCTCAACGACGTGGATTTTGTTCACGTCATCTTTCAATGAAAGTAAGACTTTTTTTCATAAAATTAAATTCATACATATAATTACTTGTACTGCTTGAGAAATTTTCATTTCTGGTTTTAATGTACCGGTGAAAATAAACAAATTTTCTTGTTTAGTTATTTGGCGCCCGTGGGATCGGACTGTAAAACAAGAGGGCAGTCGTATTGATCTAGTCCGAGCATTAATTAGGTCGCCTCGATTGCCTATCTAATTAGTACCAATGACCAGCTACTCAATGGCACGATAAATGTAAGATAACAATCGAGAGTAACATTAATGACTATTGGTTCATAATGCAGTTACCGACACTCGCTCGGTCGCCCGATTACCAGAATTGAAAAAAACTTAGCATGCGGATAGCGTCTAATTATACAGTTCGGATTTATGAATTACTCATACGATAATCTAGAGCGAAATCTTGATCACATATCAACAGATTTAGGAAATTACATTATTGGCTGAATGCTAGGCCCGTAATAAAATAACAATAATTTGAAAAAGGTAAAACATTCGACAATAGTTTATGCATCAAACAAAAGCTTACAAATAGAGGAATACAAAAATATAATAGTCTAAGTACTTAATAAAAGTATACAACATAAATCTGAACAATAAATTCAGATAGGGCTGTTCCAACATTTCAACTGCTTAATATTTATCCTGACATAGCAGGTTTACATAAATTTGTCGTTTTAGATTAATCAAATAGTCGTCAGTGTTAAATGCTGAGTTGTTTTACAATTCACCTAATTTAGTTGGAAATCGCATATATTTGCATTATATGTTACTATTATTTGTCTACTTAGATCTTTTATTGACTTACTGGTTATTCAAAGCTCTGATAACTCCAATTAGCAAGCTGATATTCTTCGAGTTAATGGTTGAAATTGAAAAGAAACTTGAGTTCTACCATGGTATGAAAATCACATTCAGATCGATATTAGTGTTTTTCATTGGGGTTATGTGAAATATATTACTCCGGATTGCAGTTTGTCTTTATTAACAAAATATAGACATTATGCTGTAAAATTATACAAAACCCCCTAATTAGTAGATTTTGTATCATGAAATGAAGGTCGTAATTCGATTAGGAGGATTATGCGACTTCATTATCTTTTGTATATCCATTACGCTTACAGGAATAACCCTCTGTGGTTCATGTGATTCGTTATGTTTTGTTGGATCACTATTGTGCGATTTTCTGTGACCTGAAGAAATCATTGATCAATCAAAACGCGTCTCTTTTGCTTGTAATTTAAATATGTTAACTTATTAACAGGAGTTACACAGAATGATATGTAAGCTACCTTTTACGCTACACATTAAGTTCTCAATCAACTATAATTTCTCGGGTCCCACATATCATTAAATCGATTGAGTTTCTCGTCTAAATATAATAAACATAAACGTCAGATATTTGATAAAAATATATTACCGTACGTTTTATTCTCTTAATATACACGTACGTGTTATATCGTGCTGCAACTGGTATGGTACAACGACTGTTGGCTTTTCAATTTGATGGATATTATTTGTTTCTAGATTTCACGTAGCAGTTAACTAACAGTTTACCTTATTCATGTCAAAATCCACTTAGTTATTTTCTTTTTCGCGTTGTAATGCTTTTTGTGTAAGTATAAGCATAGATTAGTCGATGCTTTTAACATAGTAAAAAGTTGAGCCAATCTCCCTGTAATACAAAGATGAACACTGAAGAGTTTTTTTCCACAGCTAAGCTGTATTTATCATGTCAATCATCCGTTTTTTAAAGTCTTAAGACGTACTTGCCAAAGTACTACTAGTTGTTTTGATAACCACTATCATAGTATATGTTAAGTGAAATTTTAAAATCTAAATACGAGTATAAAGATCATGGTTCTTACAAATTTTACATAGTTCAGTTTTCTATTCCTTTTCCCAGTGTTGTTAAATGGGTTTTGTGTTCATTGAGCACTGATTACATCGTTTACTATCCTCTCCTTAGCTTCATATTGAGATGTTGACATTGAAAGAAGAATCATTTTGAATCTTTTGATTATACTTACCGCTCCTGTACAGTAATTATCACTATGCAATAGCAAATGAGTGTTAACATTAATAAAAAGTTACATGGGTTTCCTACTGGGTTCTATCTGTAAATAATTTGACATTTACAAGTATTTTTAAGCATGAAATACGCTTTAGAAAACCACTTATTAATAGTAAGTCCAGAATTTGGCTGCTGTATAACCAATACTAGGACCAAAAATTCATCCGAATTAAAAAGCCATACGACGTAAACGTGTTGCATTCAAAAATCAATGGAACTGACGATACGTTTGATGTGATTTTAGATTATTTTAAACTAGTGATGAATTTTTCATTCCCAAACACCGATCCTTTAGAAGAATGCTGTATATAATATTTAGTCTTCATTTACAAATTTATCCTAACTTTAGGGGAAGGAAATGCGTGTAATGGGATATGCCGCTGCTGTAGCGGCTTTGAATTCTTCCGAATCGAAATACAGTACATCAGGTATCCCTAGAGAACATGGATCAAACCGTAATAAGATGAATTCATTCACATCTACCGGATTATTATCTTCATCGACACCATCACTACTTCTCACTCCTTCCATTTTCGCGCCCTACAAACTAACTCCTTTTCTGTCAACAAGTAAGTCAGCGTCTGTAACAACTGAGATGGGTTCCTCTACGAGTGCAACACAAACGTTCATATCTTCTACAACTACGGCACTGCTGACGACGACAACGACGACCATTTCACAACAATCAGTGTTCTCGCTTCCACTGACTTCAATTCATTTTAATGATCGCTATGATTCAAGCATTATACCTGCCACTGTTGGTGCACAAGTTACTTCAATGCCTATTCCGAGTAAGTTTCATATAAACCTTTTAGCTGACTTTTTACTATTTCAGTGTGCAGTAATTTCTTCATGATTTTCTTATATGTATATGGTACATTTTTTTTATACTAAACATGACTACGAAAAATGCTACAGTTAACGTTATCAAATCATTGAAAGGAACCCAATAATCCGCACCTTATTATTAATGTTTGTAATATAACCCGTTCCTCATTCAGTAAAGCCACTAACTTGCTGTTTCATCCTCAAATTTGTTAACTATACAGGTTGGCGGTTCCTACTAGAATTGATGAAATCATCCCAAACATGGAATGATAGCTGATAGATAAGTATAACTAGATAATGACATACCGTCGTTATATAAGACTATTAACTGTACGTCTAAGCCATGTGGAGCCAGTCGGTTTAGATAATGAGATTGTTAGAAACCAATGACTCCAGAATAGTAATCAAAACTTTAAATCTATAGATGTACTCATTATTTGTGTTACTCCGCATCTTGCTACCTTTGTAGCCGAATTCTTCACCTGTATTCTGTCCATCTTTCTGTATCCTTAAAAAGTACAAACTCTATATTGTTAACTTTACTTCCTAACTCTCATATCTTGCTATAAACACTTAAGAATGTTAACGATTTAGCTACCTGAATTTATTGCTTTCGTGAACTAGTGATTAATATTTTATATTTTCAGTATCAGTTGGGTGTTTTTAATTATCAAAGTTTCAAAAAAAGTTTATACAATATACTCCGAATTTCACTTTTAGATCCTTCATTCGCACCGTTACTATTTAATACTTCCGTTGGACAAATGTCTCCAATTTCTACTCCTCTTGCTTTACTTCCTATTCTCACGGATAGTATTTCTGTAGGGGAACCCTCTTTAAGAAAACAAGATGCACCAAGATTTAATTCAAATAATTCATCGAACTTTTGGGATAATCCAACTACAACTGAAAACGAAAATAGTAATTTTAACAAAGGTCACAGTAGTGGTAATCAGTATTGTGATAATAGTCACAAAAGTCCTGGTCATCGTGAATCAGACGGTGACCAATGTTCAACACCGTTATTAAGTCAAGTCTGCAATCTTGTAGATAATGAAAAGTCTGATCAATCTGCTGAAACAGGTGAGTAGTTTGTGAAACGGTTTGATTTTGCGATTTCCTGTCATTAATTTGTAAAAGCGAATCGTTATATCCGTGTTTTCTATGCAAATTTCCTTCACAAATGATGAGATACTTCAAATACGATATCAAATTACAAGTAAACTCAATAGAGAAGCATTACATACAAAAAACATGTACACATCGGATATCACCGACAAAGTATTCGATTCTCTAGTAAAATTCTTATACATATATTTCATACACATAGTTCCCTTTATCATCTTGAAGAGAGCAAGAACAAAGATTTTAGCAAAATAGCATGAATTCATCTTATTTCGTTTGGTTCTCTTCAGCTGATTACAAATTGTGGTATTTAAAAATGGTAATTTCAGAATGGGTTTAAATCACTTACATCAAAGAGTTTAGTTGGAAGTTATGTTGCAAACACGTTAGTATAGCAAGGGTTTAAATAAATTTAATAGATTGAATAATATACTGTAAATACACCTTATGTAAGAAAACATTCTACAACATTGATTGTAACAAGAGTCCAAAAGACTAGAAACAAGCGATTACGTTATGAGTAAACGCTGATAGTGAACAAAGCTCAATTAGTAAAATAAGATTACTAATATAGAAGAAATAAAATGACGAAATGATGTAATTAGTTAAAAGAAGAAGAAGGACTGTATGATGTAATGAAATAATATTTGTCACCAAACCAAAGAAAAATTAACAATCACCTTTCGAACACATAAATCACGTTTTTGAATCCTGATAGCAATGGCTTCAGCAAATTCAGAAGGCTGGAGCTTGGCTGTTTATTAACCACCTTGAAAGATTGAAAGATAATGATCTGATGTCATGTGTCCAAGACATGTTTAATAATAACACTTTAAAGCCGTTCTTTCTCTTGTTCTAAGACTTGTTGGACTATGTTCTAAAAATCTAAGATATGCCCTCCTTTCTGTTTGGCCAATGTAGCTTCTTCGGCAGGTACACGTAAATTTATAAATACAGCGTTAACGTGAATGATGTGCTTTTCGGCCTTTGATTAGGTTGTTGAACATGTCGTTTTATACACGATTAATAGATTGGCTGCCGGGTAAGTTCTGGCTAATGCAGTGTTAAACCTCCTGCTGTTTGTGGTTGCAACGTTATCACCTTTGAAGTTGAGATTTATAGATATTGGTTTTTTATTGAATAGTCACACCCATCTTATTTTACATAGATGTTTCACATGTTTCAACAAATTTCTGTTGGTAGCAGTTGTCTCTTATTTATTTTTCAACGTTCATCAATTCTTCCAGTTTGTTGGTGGTACATATACTTTGTACCCCATAAAATAATAGTGTTTTGACCAACGCTTTCGTGTAACTGGTTGGACAAAAACTACTGAAATTCAGGTAAAGACGATTTCAAGTACTTTTTCGATATACCGAACGTTGAGCTGTCCCATCTTCCCTCAGTTGTATGGCAATATCAAGAAAGTGGAATATGCTACTCTTTTCGTATTCCATAGTAAATTGTATGTTGGAATAAGCATCATTTTATCGTCATAACAGGTGGATTACATGCTGTTTACTATTGCAGACAATAAACGTATCGTCGACATATCTGGAGTATTGCGTCGTTTCACTAATCGCTTGTTTAAGCACCATGCTTTCAAGATACCTCGTAGAAATATATTGAAGTCATTTTGTTGGTGCGTCAGAAATGCCTAATTTATTACATAACCCGATGTACACATAGATTATTTCCTCAACAAACATAAAGTTAACCAGACCAATAAATATCATCAAACTTCAAGTTACTTAACTCTTATCCATATATGGTGCTTACTAGGATTCTGAGAATAATGAGACATTCGATATGACTTGGGATCTATTCTAATAAAGTAAAACCCATGGAATCCTTGGACACGATGAAGACAACACCTCTCTATCTTATTGTAAATGTTTTCACTAACTGATAGCTACATTGTTAAATTGACTCATCATCATCTATTGGTTATTGATTTTATGTTTTATTGTATAACCTATATATTAGTCCTAGTAAGGAAGTGATTGTATTTCTAAACTGCTATGTGTAAAATAATTTTAAATGCAATTACACAGCTTTACTAAATGACGTCGAAAATAAAATTGCTTTCTACAAGCTGTACTTTGCTTAATTTCAGTTATAGCGTCTTCAATCTCTGAATCATTGTCTTTTTCAAAACTCCTAATTGTAAAAATTTGAATTATTATTATTATTATTATTATTATTAGTGTTGTGCTTTTTGTCGTTTTAACTATTCCAGTATGAGTCTAAAGTATGACAACATGAACTGGTACACATTCAAACTGGATCCTTTGTCGTTAATAGTTATTTTTTCTCCTAAACTATATATAATAGAACGTTTGATAAAATTTAGATTAATTTGGTTATCAGTTATTAGTTTTAACATTTTTAATTGGTTAATCTCTTATTTGTTTATTAGAATTTTTAACACATAAATAAATGATATAAACAACCCTAACGATTTTTAATTTTTCTAATAGTTACTTTTTACACTTCACACCATTATTATTATTATTATTATTATTATTATTATTATTATTATTATTATTATTATTATTATTATCTAGATTGTGTCGAAAATTCCGAGGAGACCTGTAAGCAATTGTCACGTGAGACGTCCAGTTCAGTAGTAAGTGTATTATTGAGAGTATGTATTTATAAAATAATTACTTTTTTCATGTATATATGTCTGTTTCAAACCTTCGTAGTCGACTGAAAACTTACGATTAGCATTAACTTCCATATTGCGTAAAGTTTGTAGCTCAAATTGATATTTCTGTTGGTATTGAATTCTCCGAGCTAGATGGTCTGATTACATATCTTTCTTTGTTATTCTGAACAACATCTTCAGCGCCGGCTTCACCTTCCTCGGAGAACTCACTACTAAAAGTTCCACGTCTTAATGATAAGCTTGAGCCTGTTTCTCTTATCTCACTCCAAGATATGACATCTAATCTCACCGAATGCATTTCATTCTGATATAATTCGCGGTCTCATTTAGTCACTGCCTACTCTTCTAATACTTGGTTAATTGAACTAGTGAAGACAGAAAGGATACTGTATAGGAAGCTGAATGATCTTAATCACGTTGGACACTTTTACAGTGATCATTGTTAACCGAATAATCTATTTATAAAATCTAGACTCATAAACCAATAGAATATTTAATAGAATTGTTTTTAAAAAACATATATTCACCTATGAAAATGGATTATAGTTCCATTTAAATAGAGAATTTTCAGAGGTTTGATTTAGAAAAATAACTTCGAAATAAATTGAAGTCGACATCAATCAATCCTAAGTTTGTAGTGGTTTATTAATTGATTTTTCAATGATAATATGTCATTTTTTAGAATTTATTCCACATTCGATTCATATATATTTGTATATTTCATGTTCTAATGTAAATCATTTGATCATGGGAACTCGTATTTATGTTATCCATAATTACTCTCATATATATTCATTGAAATAATTACATAGCTATTGTCAAAAACATTTATAATATATGATATCTATATATTCTGAAGAAAATAGTTTCAAAATAATAGGAGAACATTTTGTTTCATTTTACTCCTGTAATAAATTTCATGTAATAGTTAAGTTTGGAAAAACTAAATGACTTCCGTTCATGAAATTACAAATAAATAAGAAAATGTAAAGTATAAAAGAATCTTTTAATCTAATCAATTAGCTACGCTGTAAGAAGTTATTCATACTTACTTGATAAATATATATGGACTGACTGGATATCTGATAATATATTCAAGACATACATTTCTTTTCTTAACTTATTCAAGATTAATTTCAATTTTAAAAATATCGAGATATTTGTATAAAAATGATTACTTAATCTGTAATAACCTTTGTTACTATCTAATCTTAAGTTGAAATCATTGAGTCACTGCTCTAATTCTCGTATATGTGAGCTAAAAGACCCCACTAATAATCAACTTCCAGTTTTGTTCTAGTCACTATGTTCTATATGCTCCAGTTGTAATTGAAAAATAAACTGAAAATCATACAGAAATACCAATTGTTTTATTGTACCAACATATATAAAACTTACAGGTTTCAACATGGACTTATTATTGTTGAATCGTTAATTGTTTGTATTATTCACCTTCATAATCAAATAGTCTTTAATAAGAATTGTTTAGTATATTAACTAGACTATCTACAATATCCCTTATCGATCTTTTTTCGTTCCTCTTATGACTTCCCAATTATTTTGATTGGTAAAGAAATAAATCATTATAAATTTTGTCAAATTTATGAAATAAGTAATATAATATAAATACTCATTATGTTAAAAGAATAATTCAAGAAGAAAGCATCATCTCCCGATATAAATAAATAAACAGACTAACAAAAATACTCGACCATATTTTGTCAATGAATTATTTATCATTTAATCACAACAAACTATTTACCGTACATATCAACTTTTGTTTAGATATTAGGTTTGTTTTGTTTTTTCCTATTCTGTCTATCTTCTAACATTTTTCTTATCTATGAATAAATAAGATAGAAACTTTTCAATTTCACCCATTCAATGACTCATATAGAATTTGTCACTAATGAAAATCTAGCATTTCTTTTTATTTATTATAAAGAATATAAATGAATCTTTGTTCCTAGAGGTATCTATTTAATCATTATTATTTTATTAAGACTTTCTTTATCCAATCATTTGATAATGTGATTCTTCTTCTATTCATTCTCATATCTATTATTTTCATCCCTTGGAAAATATATATCAATTCTGATATTCATGTAATTGAGTGAATAACACATAGCATGAAGCTATAAACATAATGAAGTAAAATAAATTAGATTTCTTCAATTAAAGAAAATTTCTAATTTATAGTCACTATTTTATTCTTGTATTGATTGTTTGAATTGTCCCATTGATGTTTAGAACTATAATTGATCAGTTTCTTTTTTGGCATATATGTGTATCCTGTGCAGATTACCTTGGTACTGTTAGTAAATCACAAGCATTCTAAATAGAGATGGATGGCGGCTAGCAGTGAAATTAAAGACAAGCGTCTTACCCAATTTGGAATTTGTCAATTGGATGTAAACCTGCATCACAGAGTTGATTTTCACTTCGGGACAGGAAACCAGTGCATATGCCAATAAGAGACTAACTAATTTCTGGGTGGAGTTTTGTTCTCTGAGCTGGATGGTTTTGTCGTGGAGTCTTCATTGTTCTTCTGAACATCATCATCTGCACAAACTTTAGGTTCACTTTCTGCCAACAAGTGTAAGATACAGACCTTCAACCAACTGCTCAATGGGATGGAGGATAGCTGAGCAAAGCGAAAGAAAAATGGTACGCTTAGTGATAACTGATGCACACTTCAGGATCCACAAATACCAACACGCCATGGATGACTAATAAAGGGAGCCTGAAAGGATACATCAGAACATTTGGTAATGTTGACAACAACGATCAAGATATCAGACAGATGACACAGAGAACAAAGAAAAAAGACCCTCAAGAAAAAAAGCACCCACGGAAGAAAACATAAACAATTGCGTGGTCAACCTGTCAAAGCAACCTCTGTCAAACATAGAAAAATACCTACTCCGAAAAGGATTAAATTACAATACAAATGGTGCCTAAAAACTGCCGGAATAAGTAAAAAAAACTCAACAGGAAATAAACTATAGTATCGCCAACTTAACGGAAGAAAGACAACATTTCAACGACCTCACAAGGATGAAATGTTTTAAAGAAACCCGAGATAGCGTGTTCAGTTTTTCATTTTCCCGAGTGGCCGAGTTCACAATACACTTAATCCATAATATTCTGAAATTTTACGCGTGGTGCTATCATCAGGGGTTATTTTGACTCACTGACTAGAAATAATGTGTCACCATACAATCTCAGATTACTCTATTCTGCTGATGAGGTGTGGCAACTTGGACCGATACATATATGTGTCTGGTCCTACGTTGTAACTGAATGGCTGACCATCTGGTGCAAAGACGGCATGTTGCTAACAGATAATCTTTTAACTCTTTAATAGGTGGCTTATTATTTCCATGTAATTTTCTTTGGTAAATAAGTTGCAGATCGGGGCTCACCGTCTGCAGAGACGACCAATCGACCTCAGCAGCTGTGCTAACATATACGGGATAGAGAATCGGCATTGTATATCGGCTTCCAGGTCGGTACTTGCACATAAAATTGAACTCTTACATCTACTACTGTCAGCGCGCCACTTAATCTTCTGGCTTGCGAAACGAACAAAGCCACTGGAGTGCACGACAGACTGGGCGTACACTAAAAGGGCGTCCCAGAAGTTGGTTAGGAAAATGTTGCAAACATTTTAACAGAGCCAGCATCTCTCAGCACGTTGTAGAATATCTCGTTTTCCTCTTATCTAACTGTCGACTAGTGTAGGCTATGACCCGCTCCTGTCTATCTTATCTTATTTGAGACAGGACTGTTCCGATAGCTGACGAGCTACCATCCTTGTCAAAACTAACTCACCCCATTCACGGAAGTATCCAGAAAAGCTAGTATGGATGGAGCAGTAAGACATTACTTCAAAGTGCTGGTAAATACAATTTCTGATTAATGAGTTCAGCCGTACAGGAAAATATAGATTTCTCGGCTAAATCTCTTCAGATATCTAAAATTACTGATTATAAGTACAAGATGAATAAAGCGAAAGTTGGTCACAAAATAAATATATTCACTCTTTCTACATTTGTTCAGTCTATTCATGCATTCCTTCTAGTCTGCTTTAAAATTTCCTACTTTCATCGAATTTTTATTTCCTGTAGAAAAAATAACATGCATATTAAAATGTTCTATTTTACTCAACTATTCCTAATGGATTTTTTGTTAGTATTCAGTTTATTTTCAAAAGCCTCTAATCATCAATTAAAATAACAATAGACTGTATTAGTATCAACCTAAAGATTGGATTATCAAATACCCCTACTATTCAATGTACTATATATAGAGAACTTTAAATTAAATTATAAGTAGTTAATATTTTCCCTTTATTACTTTTAAGTGCTAATATTTTATTTATATATTCGTTTACAGTGAAATTCAGTCAATTATTTCTTCTTCTTTCATAGATGTTAATTCATTGATTGTAGTCTTTGTTTCATTGAATCGAATTTCTTTTTTTTCTTAAAATATAATATGTTAAAGAAATACAGCAAAGTAACATATACATAGACATTATTTCATCATACCCTTATGATAATCTTTTAATAGATTTATCATAAAAAGAAAGGTATATTTCTTTTGATTTTAATAAAAAAAATATGAACGAAATATTTTTTTTTTAATCATTTATTCATCTTACTAATAATTCTTTTCTTTGATTTTTCAAAGTTGACTCAAAATTGTAGCGGCAACGTTACTGATGATGATGGCGGCGGCGATCATCACAATCATGATTATGATAATAATGATAATCAACTTAATATTACTACTCCTGTAATTAATTTAAACATTTCTAAAACTGATAATACTCAAGTATTCAATGAATGTTCAATAAATAAAAAATTAAAACTGTCTACAATATTAAATAAAACTAATCAAGATAAAAAACATGTACGTCGTCCAATGAATGCTTTTATTATATTTTCTATGAGACATCGTAGTGAAGTACATCGTCTTTATCCAAATAAAGATAATCGTGTTGCAAGTCAAATTTTAGGTGATTGGTGGTATCATTTAGATGCATCAGAAAAAGCACCTTATCAACAATTAGCTCGTGAAGTAAGCAGATGATATTATGTATTATCTTTGTTTATCTTTTTTCTTTAGAATAATATTAATAATCTTTATTTGATGATTTTATTATGTTGTGAGAGGACAGATATCCAAAAGAATTAATTTTACTCTTAAGTGTTAGGAATATAATTCTAACTGAATAATGTACTAATTCTGTGAACTATTTATCGTGTCTATTATTTCTAGTTGCTTAAAACAAAAATTGACAGATTTATAGGCACGGAATAAATCCGTAAAAGTTATCATATATTTTTCCTGTAGTGCTAATGGAATATCAATATTTTGGTTTAAAATTGGTGTCGTAAAATAGAAAAAGGATTGTTGTTGATGGTTTTCTAACTTTCAGTATAGTGAAAGATTTTACCTCTTTGATATACCAAAGAGAGCAACAAATATGACCCCACAATTAAATAAACATCCATATTGTTTTAGGAAATTTCTGATTTTATAGAGATGTTCTTACATCTAATAAACTTTCTCACAATTTTTGTAAGCAGTCTAGCTTCATGATATCTTGAAGCGTAACGTTTACATCGTACTTGGATTTACTATCCCAACTGTCATTCAATAACGTAGACAAATCACTTGATTTCAATTTTTTCGCTTTCAGGCTAACCTTCTTATCTTGATAGAACTACAAAAAGCAAGCTTTTCAGCGTGTAAAGATCACAAATAAACGCTATTACTTTAAAGTAAAAGAGCATAGTCATATGAAACGAGATTTGAACTAGGAACTTAAGAGTTCAGAATTACTACTGTAGATCATTATTCTATAATACCATATAAACACTTGTGCTATTTGCTACTCTGATATCCATTCAATTTTTCCGAAAAAAAAGTTTTTTTAACAACATTGAAATTTTTCAGCAAAGTTCATATTTAAAGTTCCTAAAACTGTCTTTATTAATGAATAAATTGTCCTTAGATGTAATATTTCCCATTTTAATAAATTTGTAACATATAAATTTATAGCTATTTGAAAAATATATGTTCAGATTTTAACTAGCAGTAGAGACTTGGAGTAACGTTTCATTTTATCTGAAATTCGTCGATAGGATTTACCTAAATCTCAATGTTGGCGTTTACATTGAGACTTAAACCCAGTAACCAAATGGTAACTTACAATGAATGAACTAAGAATTCATATATCTCAATCTAGATTTTTCAATTGCAGTTCTTAATATCTATAGATATTTACGTAATAGTTAGATCGTTATTTCCAATTTCGATGTGCTTCAATAAAAATTTTAATGAATTGAAATGTTTGTTTCACGTTAAGCGCAGATATCTAACCATATTATTACGGCAATCATGATTAAGCTGTGAATATAATTGAATAGACCAAAATAGAACGATAAACAAACTGAATAACTTGAGATACAGAAGTTGAATTTAATATGTAGTAACTTTGTATACAGTTCCTAAAAGAAAGGAAATGTCCATACAATAATTATAATCAATTTATCGAATGATTACTAACCGACTGAGTAAACTTTGATTTACAATCTTTCTGATTTTAATATGATAGTGGTTTGTATTATACCACTTTTTTATTATCTCCCTTTCATATTTAGCTAAAAGCTGCGCATTTTCAATTATTTCCCAATTGGAAATGGTCTTCTAAACAAAGACTTAGATCAGAAAGTGGAAACATTAAGAAACGATTCCTAAGTGATTGTAATTCGCATCCAAAAACGCATACATCACTGACTGATTCTAGCAATTTATTGGTGAATAAGTCTTTATCAGATGAAAATAAACTAATTACACATTCATTTACCAGTAACCAGATCAATGAATCTGACAGTATTTTAACGAATTCAGCTTTAAACGAGTTATCATTGAATAATGAATCACCTATAGGTAAGTTTTTAGTTCCTTTCAATAGATTTTATTGATCGTATAATCTATCATCAAGTTCATGTGATGTTATGTAGTTACGTTTAAATCTGTAGTTCTAATCGAATCCTATCGACCAAGTTACATTGTACCCACCACTCAAAATGACTGAACATTTTCAACACTATTTTCCGATAATTGGTGGTTGGAGGCAGTCTCAGTAGGTTGTCCTAGAAATAAGTTTCGTGCTCATCACCAACAAGGCATATCTGCAATCTTGAAAAAAACTGTTACTCTTCGTGAGGTTCGAATCTATGTTAAACTAGTTGTTGAGGATGCTAGATCCTCAGAAATCGCTTGGTGAATTTTTAAGACTTGAATTCCTCATTTCCGCACCAAAAGTGCCCATTTTTACCTTAAGTTTGTGTTGCCCACCTGGAAGGACCCTAAAAGTCACTGGTTCGTTTTCTCTTATGTAACACTTTCCAAGGATATTTTTGTAATATTTATATTACACATGAGCTGAGTGGTTGTCATTCGTTCTTCTGGATTGCTTGTGGAATTATATATTTTCCCAGGTGAATCTGGTTTTCTTCCTCTAGTTAACAAGGCTAGGGAGCAGAGGAATAGCTTAGCTTGTTCTGTTGCTGCATTGCTGATTTTCGTTTTATTCATCGGTCTAAGATGACACCATACATCCCTGAATATAACACTAATAATAGTGATTTTTATAGTATTTATAATGACTACACTGTATTTGGGATTAAATTGATATTGTTTTGAAAAGTGGTATTTCAAAAATATATGTGATATTTTTGTAGTTTACATATCACTTGACATTTACATGTATGTTTATACCATTGTGTACACTGAACAAGTACATTGTGATAGCATCATAAAGTTTAGATAAAAGATTAAGTTGTATTTCATGATATTTTATTTTTGTAAATTTATATAAATCCAGTAGTAATATCTTCATCAAATAACAATCCTTTCGAATTGCGTAATACACATATACATAATTAAAACTTCTTAAAACAAACTTGTTCAAAAACAATACATTTATCTGTAGATATTAGTACAATATCTGTCTACTTAAGTAAGTTGTGCAACTGTTTAAAGGTAAAAATAAAAAACAAAGAGTAGATGGTAAACAGCTTCAATTAAAAAATGACGTCTCATATCCATTTTATTAGTACACAAAATTTATATAGATTTATAAGAGTAGATCATGAAGACAAAGTTTTTGAAAACAATTATTCTGTCAAGTGTTCTTTGTTGTTTTTCATTCTTACAATATATTCTATGGATGCATTAAGACACTTTATAAATAACAATTTACTTTAAAACAGAAATCATTCCCGTCACCCGTAGACAACAGAACACTTTTAGAATAAATTTTACTTCTGAAACCAAACTACTTAATTACTTCTGTCACCCATAGTGGAGAAGCATAGGCTGCACATCAGCATTCTCCATCCAACTCTGTTCTCAGCAATCCTTTCATGTTGTTATCCATCCTTTTGATGTCTGTTTCCGACTCTCGACAGTGTGTTTCTTGGTTTTCTTCTTTTCCGTTTCTCTTTGAGATTAGAAGTTAGTGTTTGCCTCATGATACAGTTTTATTATTTTCGCAATGTATGTCCTATCCACTTCTAACATCTTTCTCTAATTCCCTCCTGAACTGGAAGTTGGTTTGTTCTCTCCCAGAGTAGGTTGTTGCTGATGGTATCCGGTCAACAGAAATTGGGTAACTTACGTAGACAATTGTTTATAAATACTTTTACCATTTTGAACTTTTTTTAATGATACAAATATGATCTGCAGAGATTTGATTGATCCTCCTGGTCTCTCACACTTTTCGGACATTCCATTTACCTACATTATTGGTTATTCTTGTCGTTGGAAAGGGCATCGGCCTCGTGACTACCGAAGAATATCGGAATTCACCATAAGGTATCATAATTGTTCGATGGGAAGACCCCTCAACTGGAAGGGTAGATTTGAAATGGTTCAAATTCTTTTTAGCAAGGTCGCTATTTACGAAATGGGGTTACTAATGTCATGCGCAACCCTCCTCCTTTGTGTGGGCTTGGGACCGGCAGTAGCTCCAGAAATGCTACTGGCGGAGTTCTGCAGCTAGATCATTATATCCCGACCGTAGTTTTATGCAAATGCTATTCTCATCACCTTGCATGTTTAACTACCTAGATTTATTTCCATTTGTTTCATGAGATTTTATAATATAAGAATTAATTTTTTATCACATTCACAGCTTTATCACAATCGAATCTCATAGCTGAAAATATCAGTCAACATAAATGTTATGATAATCATAGTTCCATTGAAGTAAAATCCTCTGTTATTGAGAATGATCTGTATGGATTAAATGGTTTAGACTTATTATTACACGCCGTTCAATATTTGGATAAAGAAAATAACTTATTTAATGATGATTTAATACAACCTCCACCACTTGTTATTGAGGATCTTGATACTGATGCTAAAAACGTTCAAGTCAACATTGATAATTCCAATACATCCTGTAGTGATAATTCTGAAACTATTATTAATTCCAACGAGGAATTAACAGAGCACAATTTTAAAGGTAATTATTTATTCATTTACATACGAATTACTTCTCATGTTTATATATGCACTCACTCGTCTCATTGCAAATCGGAATACGTGAAGGGTTATAAACTGATTATTTATGACCTATTCACTGATACTTTGTCTAATTTACCAATTTACGTTTACTTTCTCAAACATAAATATGTATATATACGACTAAAATAGTCTTTCTAGTTCATAAAAGCCTATAGAAAAGTTGTTTTCTTTTAATTACACATTGCGTTTACCTGAGGTAATTAGTTCATCATAGAAAAACTGTTTAACATTTCTAATCCATTAGTTTTACTGGTTTGTAATAAATTCATCTTTCTAAATGGCCGTTTTATAATGACTGAATTCTTGAGAGATACATGTATTCCCCCTGGTTACATGAATGTTAATAAAGATTGTGCAAACATATAAATCAGTATGATTTCGCTCTAAAATTTCAACTATAACATTCATTATCTCTAATCATATGTTAACACTTCTCAATGAAGAACTCTAACCTCAGATCAACAATTATATCACTCAAAAACAGAGATAATATCTCACTGAGCTACAATGTAACATTGTTTACGGCTGCCATATTTTAAGATACTATTATTGAAAAGAACTGGAAGTGGCACAATGACAGTCAAACATGAAATAGTTTAATGATAAGCTACATTTTATGAAAAGACAAATACTAGTTTATGTAATTCTGGGTTTTACCTTCCCATAAAAGAATCTAAGCGTTTGGAGTTTTAATTTCAGAAGTAAATTATAGAAACTTATAGGAGCGATAACCCTTATACCCAGAGCAATTATTTACGAAAAATCTATTTATAACCGATCTCCAGTGGGGTTGTCTTCTGGATTCTGCGACCACGTCTAAAGACATCTAACTACATCGTACTCGTCACAAATTTTCTTCATCATTTCTTAAAGTCATTTCCTGATAATCAACCTTTTCACGAGAACTTTAATCTCTCATGAGTATGTAGCTCGTCTTAGCAGTTCGATCGTATGAAATCTCTTGAAATGTTTTCAACTATTTCCTAAAGCTAACAACATTTACATCTTTATATTGAGTAATAAACATATGTCATTAGTTGAAACTTTAGAACCCTATGGATTCACATATCCTGTGTCTATTAATGCCTCATACACGACCATAGAATGGTTATTCAGTTGGCCTTACCTATTTAGTAAGATAACTCCATACTATTCACTCTTCAGATACATATAGCTATAACAACTATTACCTGTGGTCTACAAGTTGTACGTATGTTTAGTTTAAAAGTAGAACGAGAGCTTATCGACCAAATCTCAGTGAATGATCTCTTATGTGTAGTTTGATTCAGTGGAACTGTGTGAACTATAAATCATCTAAATACGCCATGTTACTTATCTATATTATTCTTTACCCCTTCCACTAACTGAAGTTCCAGAAGGAGGAAGGATCAGTGAATTATGAGAGCATAAATCCAAAGGGAAAAGAAACTATATATGTGAAACTGTGCAGGAATAACTGCAGTATTCTATATTTTTAGTGGTAGTGTAATGTTTCTACAACCTGTCAGTCAGCCAATCACAATATAGAACTTAGTACGTATGTACATCGTTTCAAGTTGCTTTACTCCGTTAGCACAGAGATAAAATTGTCAGGCCACATCCCAGAATAGTAGAGTGAATAGGTTGTAGTCAAGTTTCTGTTATAACTTGTGCCCTGTGTCCTATTAATGTACCACGTGATGATTCAGCCAATTAGAGAACAGTGAATTATCTGTCGGACCAATGACGCATAAAAACCCGTACGAGCATTCTAGAGTCGTTATCGGTCCTGCTTATCGTCTAGCCCAGCCTGTTAAGTCTAGAACACCTATCTCAACTTATGCGACATGAATAACTTATTTCAAACATACGGAGTTTATATACCGATCTAATAGACCACATCGTACCATAAAATAGGAAACAAGGTTTGCACAAGACTTAGCCAAATGTGGCTGTGAATAAGGGAGATAGTAATTGATAGGCAGGGTATAACTCAAGAATGGGAAATCGTATAATAACAGTCCATCATTCAAAATGAAGCTTATGATAAGAGGAACACGAATATGAATAGTTTAGTTAATTAACAATTACACGATAAAATTATACGCATAGTATTAATCCATAAATGGGTCCCAAAAGTTACCATTCATTATTCTCATTGGAATATAACAGTTTTACTTCCTTATTTCGACGAAAATTCTCATAATGCTAAGTTATAAAGTAAGCGACTTGTTGATATTAATATCATGTAAATTCTATGAATACAATGGTCTTGAGTGCTGTTAGAGGTGCAAACTACTTGGTTGGGGTCCGCGTGACTTTCGTAACCCATGGTTGGAGACTCTTGGTGACATGGCTCAGAATCGGTGTATACACTTTCTGTCTTCCCTTAAACTAATAGATTAAAATCACTTCATATCTTTCTTTCTACTAACTAATTCTTTCTTCCTATATTATATCCTTATTGCAATCTTTCTCCTATATATTACCACCTTTGACCAAACCACTCCTATGAATCCGGTGTTCATCTTGCTGTGCTAATGAGGTATGGCAACCTGGACCGATGCACATATGTGCCTGGTCCTACGTTGTAGCTGACTGACTGACATGTAAATTCTAGCTGTTATGCTTTGGTAAATTTTACATAACTCATTAGTTAATTTTATACATATATATGGTCATTGTTGTTTCTTTGTTGAACTCCCATTGAATTACTGTATTTGATGGAATAAACATAAATTGTCTGTCCCTGTCAACTTTTGGATCTCATGAAGATACGACAGTAACTCCTGATCAAGAGTCAACCTCACTGAGTGGTTCAATAAAAAATATTTTAATAGATTCTAGCGTAACTACTTCTACATGTAATTCAACTAGTCAATCAGTTCTCGAACACTCATCAAAGTAAGCTACCATTATGTTTATTACATAAGATAATGAATACTATAAATTTTCTTTTTTAATGGTAAACCCAATTTATATGTGATTTACTGATGTTCTGTAAAATAAGAAACAAAGTTATACCATTCTTTGTTCTATACAGTGTAATGGTTCATCAAGCGTTTTAGTACCTGTATAGTTGCGCTACATGATTAGGCTTGTACTGTCCAGATCGTGTAAAAACCTGTATGGGTACCTGATTCTCCTAAAAACCAATGTAAAATTACCCACTTTCAGGTTATATATGTAATTGTGCAATAATAGTGCCTGAAGAGAAAACTAAGGCGAATTCAACGTAAAAATATCACCATTTTTACTATTAAAATTAACTCCACTAGTTTATTATTATTATATTTATGTGTGCATAATAGTTGTAAAATCCTTTGTAACTAAATAATTCATCCATTTCTTGTGAATGAATATATGGAAACGTACTACTTAAAAACGATAATGACCTCATAATGCATAATAAAAACTGATTGTACAGTAGGTTTGATGAAAATTAGGAGATTTATGAACGAAAGTTATCTACTGTATTATTCTCTAAATCAATAAAAATGATTTACGGATAAACCATGCCAAGTAAATATCCAATCTGTTAGTTTAAATGTATGCTTTATTGAAACCATGAACTGATCGATGTCGATCGCCTTGGAAAATCTGAAAGTACTGGATCTCCGTTTCATCTTATTACAAGATTCCAGAGCAGTGCACATCCACGGTTGCTCACGCGTGACTCGAACCCAGAACCTTTGGTCTCGTGCGAACTCTTAACCTTTAGACCACTGAGCCGACCAGAATTCAATTGTGTTAAATTTAAGTCATTAGTAATCTTTTCTACAATAGAATTTTCGATAATCTACTTTGTCTGTATTGGTTGTTTGAATTTATTTTACTCTTAACTTCATTTAAGCAAATTTATTAATTCGTTTTTATCAATCTTAATATCACCAACACGTAAGTATTCTTTTCATTCTTAATGAAGTCAATATAAATAATCACAGTCTATACACATAGTCACTTTAACTTTTCTCAAGGGCTATTGTAATGACAATTTCGTTTTCTTTCCTTATCTCTGTCTACCTGTCAAGCAATTATTCAATTTTTTTGTTGATATTTAATAAATCTTACCTACCACCTAGTGATTTCTGAATTGTCCTAACGATTGGATATTTACATTTACATTCTGATTGTTTTGTTTAAATATATTAAGTCCATTGTCTCCAACTGACATTATTTTTAATTTCAGTATTGGTCAACATTTTAAGTTTAATACTATTTTTTTTTCTTTGTTTACGTTCACTTGTTTACTCTGTCTTTGTCTATTCATTTCATCTTTCTTTCTTTTAATCAACTGGTACATATCATGTGACTTTTGGGAAAATTTTCTTTTCACGAAATTATTTCAATTTGTCAACAGTGAATCTTATCAATAATCATTGTCTTTCCATTCAACAACTACTTTCCTAAAGTTATAAATTTCTTTAACCTATCAATATATTAATTAGAGAGTATGTAACACTTTCAAATAACAACGATAAATAATATGACTAGTCTAATGTATATAATCAGTCCATAATGATTAGTTGGTTATATACTGACATTGTAAACAATTAGAGACTAGTTCAGGTTCATATTGTAGTCAAGATCAATAATGGTTTATTAATTCAGATTTTGTCGCTAAAAGTCTGTTTTGGTAACAAAGATAAACTCATTCTATATTCTAATATCAGTTATAGACATTCTTTCTTACTTCACATGTCTTCTTTACTCTCTTGTAGATCCGTTGGGTTTTTTGTTGTTATGAATATTTACATACATTTTATATAATGCTTTTCTGTATGTTTACTTTTCTTTCAAAAATATCTAGGGAGAAAAGTTAAGTTTTGTGCCATAATTTCTTTTGCATATTCATTGAATCTATGCTTTTGTTTATGAGATATTAGACTTTTGTCTATTAGGCTTGATACTCAAATTCATCGTTTCTAATTTGTCTTGTACAACTACACCGTTGTAATTTCTTACTATTTGTTCTCTTTAGAAATGATAATGTAAATCTCAAAAATGATATTTAGCAGAATAGAATCAGTTCACTGTATTTCACCAACCTGCAAATAAGTATTTAAAATAAACAAATAGACAAAAAGGTGAATTACAATCTGTATCACTGTCTAGGTATAAACCATTGATTTTCGTATAAATGACCTAGTATTGAATATTAAATAAAAGTTCTTGAAATTATTTACTCCTTTTCCTATATTTATTCCATATTTGAGTTATCCTGTCTAGTTGATATATGCTATAGAAATGATTTCGTTCATTTATGATAGTAATTACCCAGGATATTTGTATTTACTTTTTATTAAACACTGAAGAAAACAAATTCATTTAAAAATCGAACGGGGTTAAGTTTTTTTATATTGTTCTCTTTTCTTTGAAAAACCAACCAAACAAACATTACATTCTCAGTTCTGGTACTTTCGAAAACTCTAATAATTGTCTACAAAACCAATCATTAAGCGATAACAACAAATCCAATTCAATTACAGACCTATCTCATCCTACATTTATACTACCACAAGTTGCGGTTTGTCCCACTACATTACTAATTGAAGTGGCAGAAAATCCTCTCCTGTGTCCACTATCAATTAATATTAAACCAACGTTATTGTCGTCACCATTATCATCATCGTCATCTTTGTCGTCCAGTTGTTCATCTACAGGTATGTTATTTATGTATACATTTTCATTTTTCTTCATTCTATGGGATACTTGTACTGTTCATTTCGTTTGTACAGTGTTAATATCCAGTGATATTATGATGTGTGCTACTTATATTTGCATAAGTAGTATATGATATTAGTCGTGGACAGAAGGCCTGACAGCAGAGAGACAAGAGGATCGAACAGTAAAGAATAGTTCAGGATGCAATTTGTATGAAAATGCAAGAACAATGAAGTCTGAGTCATTTTGAGACAATTGGTGGACATTTTGCAAATTAAGCATTTACTTTATGATTGTTAGATTTTATTAACAAGTCTTGTAATTTTGTGTTAAATGCATTCGATTGTCCCCACTCGTGTTCTTGTTCCCTACATTTGATGTCGTTGCGATCCAGCAAATAAGGGGTGCTGTTCTGCGAACGCCGCAAGTTTTTAGATTTTCTTAATTTAGAAATTCATTTAATTTGTATCTTATTAAGAAAAAACGAATAAAAAATGAGATCAAAAGAGGAGGGGATCATAAAATCTCGAATATTTTCAGTTAGATTCTTTAAAAAAATCACAAATTTCATCTATCATTTCAAGTTTGTAATAATCTAGCGTTCCCAGACTTTTTTTTAGAAAGAATTAATAGTTACTTCATGATTCCGTGCTCAGTTCTCACCCAACACTCTGTTATCCCTTCTCTCTAATTAAGAATGTGAGTTAATATTATACTTGAATAAGTATACCATCTCGATCAAAACATCTTTATTGTTATTTTGTTTATCTAAAACTATTTAGTTGGCTTGATCCCTAATCTTTCACAAGGTTTTACTACTCTATTGACTGTTCGATTTGATCGACTGACAAAAACATGTAATATTCTATTGTCCGTTTGTATCAACCACATTTAACAATTAGATTATGAATAAGAAGACGTCACTATGCTGTTTAATAAGGAACTTCCTAAATATAATCGATATTTCTACACTAAATTACTTATGGTTTCGCTCTTAGATACAAAACTAAACAGATTACAACTATTAGGAAATAGTTCTAAAGTCTACGGGAACAGTGTATCACTTTACTTATTTTCTAACTTTTGCTTTCAATATTTAATGACTTGGATTATAACATGTAATTATTTTATATTTACAATTATACTCAATCTTTATTACTTATTATTCCATTTTAGAATTGAACAACTCTTTACTTGAAATCAATCAACAATCTATAACAACTACTTGTGAAACATCAAAATCTAATCAAATCAATGAAATTTCTTTAGAAAATAATATTGATACTCACATACCTAATCAACAGAATTCTACAATTGTAAGTTTGATCAATATTTGTTGTCAATTATTCTACGTTGTTAATTGTTATTTACAACTATTAGAATGATTTACAAATTGACTGACTTATTGTCATTAGAATAATTTGAAATGTAAAATACTTCAGATTTTCTTGATAGTTTTGTTTTTGTAACTGTAGTAAGAAAATGATGAGTGTAGTATTAAATGAAAGACAAAATGTATTTTCTTTTCATTTCAAAGATTTATGGAATTCGATAGTTTATGAGAGGTCAGTCTCGTTTTATTCAGTTGCTACTGATTTTAAAGGAATAAACATTATTATACTTATTCCAGAAGATAATTATAGCATCCAAACAAATTCTACCGAATATTAACAAATGTTACAAGAAATACTGATTTGTAGTGAGTATCAACATTTTCAAGGTATTTGTAGGTATATAAGTGGATACTAACAGACTTAACGGACTATGAGATTATACTAAAGTATTATCTGCTAGAAAAAATGCCATCATTTAAATCTCAGTGGTCACCTTAACACTGATATACAATCAAACTATCGATCTTTATCATTTCGATTGGGTTGACTGATACTTCTGCATTTTCTTAACACTTAGATTAGTAATTACTTGATCAAATTATTCGTAATGTTTCTAGTCGGTACTACAGACTTCGATTTCTTACTCCGTTTCTAAGATATCACTGTTTGATGTTAACAAGAAATGCTTTGTATTAAAAGTAATTTTATCCCTTTTCATATTTGAAAGCAGCCGATAAATAACTCATGCCATCAACCTGTTTCTTCTAAAGAAGAGAATTGTGTAATCTATGATTGTGAGAATAAATTTCAATCATCTACCAATGAAAATTCTCAAAATCAACAAACTGTTTCTTCTAAATCAAAACCTCCTCCATTGAAATTACAAAATGATGTATTTAATTCCAGCATTATAAACAAAAATATTGAACAATCTGATAGATCGGTTGAAAAAAGTACACCTCGTGCTCCATTCTCAGCTGATGCAGCTAATCGATGTTTTAAACGGAAATTTGATGAAACTACAGAGAAGTGAGTTATGATGATGTATTTTTTACTAATAACTATTGCATGTGTATGAAGACGATTCAGCGAATAGACTGTTCCTTCCAACAATCTCATTTATCAAAGCTGTACAACGGTATTTATTACTAGTCTTTACACATAACAGCCTTCAATAAAAAGAGACGAGTTTTGCATAATTTGTCGAAGTTACCAAAAAATAATCAAACTTTAGGATATTGAATATGTAATTGTCTTCAATGTAATATTAAATAACATTTTATCAAAGAAATGCTACAGATAATTACACATTTGATGAACATGAAGAAGATTTAAATGAATCAAACAGTTGGTAACAACAATTTTTCAAATAAGTAATTAAACACATCTTTTTTGAATAGAGATCAAGCTTGATATAGTAAACTATGAAACCTTAAGTCATGCACAAATTTATAATCTAAATTCCTTTTGATTTATTTATCTGACCGTATAAATGATACAAAATGATGCCAATAGCAATCCGTGACTCTAGTTCAAGGGCTGAACTATTGATTGACTTGAATCTCTTTTTAAATGCCCATACGGGTTAATCCTCGGAAATACGTCTAGAAAGTATATGCTTCATGTGGTCAGTATAATCTCCTTTACAAGAACAAGAGAACCTATTAAATGTACATATATAATTATCGATTAATTGGCTATAAACATATAAACATAAAATACTTTACGTTGTTGGGTTGATCAAAGTTGTTTGTTTGTTTTTTATACATAAATTTTCATAATATTGAATTCAAGTGATTTATCAAATATTGTTTACTAATTATAATTTGGATATAAACTAACTGTATGGTAATCTAATTATGGTACCGTAAAACCTATACCAGACCACTTAATCCTATTAAATAATACAAGCTCAATTAAATCAGGTATCAATAATTATAGTAATTTTATCCAGAAATAATAATGTTATGTTTTATATTTAGAAGATAAAGAAAAATATATATTTAAGTCTTGAACATTCATGCCTTAAGGTCTCAACCAAATGGGCTGGAGAGAGGCTAAATTAAAAGTAACCGAATTATAATCCGAGGGTGAAGTTTTATTTTTAACTCCACTGGGGTCTGTTCACTGTAAGATGTTTCCCTTAGATAACCAGAATCTTCAGTAGGTTAGCTCTAAAAGTAGCAACCTTCGCCTTGTCACGGGTTTCCAACGCCCACAGTAAGGTCCAACACACTAAAAACTACTCACATAAACACCGTATATGTTTGATCTCAACCAATTATTCCTTGGGTCCTGCAGTGACGCTTCCAAGTAATCAATACCATTGATGATCTAATTCGTTTTTCAGGTCCTTCTAGGGGTATACCTCCACATGCGGGAATCGCCAACCGCCTTCATACCTCTGTGAACTTCAAGACTGATGATATCAATCTCTTGTTGACTATGGAGAGCGAAGTAATCGGAAGTTTCGACACTTCACCTAGTTTGAAGTATCTGTCAACTTTCTCTGGTTGGTTTTCGGTTAAAATAATCGCAAGCGTAAACCACTATTGGCGCAAGTAAAATGTGCATTCCCGATTCGAAGAATCAGCTAAATACTCAGTAGCTCTCTGTACATTGTTTCAAAGCTGTGAAATATGACTAGCATCTTCTTTCAAGTCAAATTCTGACTAACATTGGTATAGGTCATAAAAAAGTAAGGAATGGTAACTAAACGAAGACATTTAGTCACCAACTGCTGAACTGGACTAGATGGAAGACACAAACTTCCCCTATTTAGTGTCCCCGGTCATTGACTACTATAAATAGTTGGAGATATTAACTGATAGATCAAAATCAGTTTCAGTAAAGTAATTTCATTTATTTCTTATCTTCCTATAAATCTTAAGTTTAATCTTATTCGATCTTGTTTTTTTTAGATCCATAGTTAGTTAGTTTATTTTTCTACTTTGTTAATTTCCTCACATACACTATCCTAGTGTAAATTGTACTAACTAGGTTGATATATATTGGTATCAGGTCATATCACCGTTGATAACTAACTGTCAGTACGTTCAGTTTTGAGACATATCAGCTAATCAATTGTAACTAATACACTTTTATTTTAAAACAGAGTTAGATGAAATGTAATCGCCTACAATTAAATGAGTGTGATTACATGTTACCATTTTTATATCGAAATTCTCTTTTCTCTTACGTTATTTTCTCGTTATTACATCAACTACTGTTTAGATTGAAGAAATTTTACTATTAGTTATTCACAGACCATCTTTTTTTTCTTTAAATTATCATTAGTATTTTAGCTCAAATCAACTTTCGTCGTCGATTTTCTTATCTACCGAAATTTAACCCTAATACTGTCTCATCTACACAAAGTTTATCATCACCAACATCTATTGATCAATTGTCCATACGTTCTGCAGGGCCTTGTTTTTACTCAGAAACTAGTCAGAGTAAGTTGTTAAAAACAGGTTTCAATCGAATAATAATATAAGTTTTTTTGTAATTCAGGATAAAAAACAATGTATTTCGATAGTTTCATTTAATCGATCCTAATAATTGTCACGTTCATTTTGTACAGGTTATAATCTTCGTCTACTTATTACATTATAGAAACTTATTCAACTGTTTACTACATGATTTCTATATTATTTCCTATAATAAAAATCCTCAATATGATGAATAATGTATATTGATAGAACTAAAATTCATTAGCATTTATTCACAATGACATGTATATTAAGTAAAAGTTAAAAAAAAATCTTATCAATAAAAACATCATATATAATGAAACGTTTTAGAATATCAACATTGTAATCGTTACAAAATGATCATATGAAATGAGATCTAGCATCTACATGATAAAATAATGAAACATCGGTGAATTCTAATTTTAAATGAACTAAATTGGTCATTTAAGAAGGCAAATAAGATCTCATCCTAAATTTCTTAAATCATGATTTTTGTGAATTATTTTTTGTGTTTGTCTTAGAGGAGAACAGTCCTAGAGGGAGTAAAAAAAAAAACCTGTTAACATCTAAATCATTATTTAAGATATGAAATGTTAATATTAAGTAGCGTTCTACTATAAAATAAGGTGGAAAAAAGTGAAATATTTTAATACTTCGTCCTTAGAGATTGGAAATGCCAGTCACTAGCTTAGTAACCCGATGTTGAACATCATCAAGCTTGTCAGGTTTTATACCTGCTAGATCTGATTTTATCCATATGTTAAGATGGAAGGTAAATAATGTCAAGGCTAGAAGTCGATTTCTGTATTTAATTCTAGATTGTGTAGTTATAAATCTGCTGCATTTATGGTGGCTTAGTTGTGTTGAACAAACCAAGAAAATATGAAATAGGATATGGCATTAGTTTAAAAAGTGAATGATTGTTTTTTTTCTTATCCAAATACTTTACGTACGTACACTTTTTCTGGTTTTAGTCCCTAAAATGTAAGAAAGCAATATTTGGTGACCCTAAATGATATGACTGTAAATGAAGTATAGCGGTCTAGATACATTCACTGAGTGATATCTTTAGATTCTGATCGTCTTGTAACTTTTCACTTATATGTTTCTTCTTGCCTTTACAAATACTTTATTGAAATTTAACTATTTTTATACAGAAATAAAGCGTGGCAAGTTAAGCGACTATACTATTTAAGACGGTCCACACTGTTTAATCTCGTTTACTCATCCATTTATCTGTAAAATCCATCCTAGTTTTTTTAGAAGTGAAATCTACAAATCAGTAGTTAACTTCCTTTTCTTTGATTATATGCTATATTTAACGTACAATTCTATGCTGTTTGATTACTGACTAGTAACCAGTGTTATTTCTACGGAGTCTTTAACTCTGATTTCATTCTAAGGATCAAGTTTCAATGTAGTCACTAGGTTACGCGAATCTACATCACATACACGATATTTAATGTTATATGGTCAGCGAGAATGTGATCCTTATTAGTTGCATATACACTTTACTGACGATATATGTGTCCAGAACTTGCTACCTGATCTCTTTCAACCATTTAACACTAAACTATAATTTCCTTGCAATTCGTTTATTTAAACATTCATATTATTCTATTTTTCAATCTTTTTTTTCTAAATTTATTTATCTTAGCTGGTTCAGTTACTCCAACACTTAATATAGACACTAGTCAACAATTATGTACGCTTACTTCTCCAAGTTCTCATCTTAGTGATTCGGAAAATATTCATCAAAATGTATCACCCAAAAAACTTGTAAGTAGATTTTGGTTACTTAATTGTTTTTATTCTATTTTTAAATATTTTATATGTTGTATAATGATAATTTTTTATTCTTAAAAATTAGTAGTAACTATCTTAAGGATTTTGGTATTTAAAGCAATGAGTCCCTCTGACAAGTTTTTTTGATAATGCGATGAGAAGATGAAGGTTATCAGAATTATGTGGTTTATTTGGAACAATATGTTCATACATATACTTGTTAAGACATTATATATGGAAAACAAAAAGTCAAGTAAACAAATTAAAAGGTAAGAGGAAACAAAGAAAATCAACAAAATAATGTGAAAACCATGCTGGATGGTATGAAAGCCGACATGGACAGTGCAATATCTTAGTTTCGATAGCCACTGTGCAAACGAGGATCAATAAAGGACTTATTCAATAAGAGCAATCTTATTTGTACTAGCGATACTATTGTGGGAAACCCAAATATTGGTGAATAACGGTTGTTCACTAATTTTTTTAAATCCTAGGAAAGGTAGCAATATGAATGGACGTACTACGTGTTTGGCACCTGAAAAACTAGTCTATATTAACCTATCACCCAGAGGTGACTCGAACAGTCTCATGTTGAAATGAAGGTTTAAATTAGCTAACAATAGGAAATTTTATACAGCCCAACTCATCATTATCGGAAAGTCAAGGTCTATGTTTCAGGAAAAACCCAATCAGCATACAAGCGATTGTGTCGCATCCGATTATATCTATCAATTTACATGTATGTACGGAAACATGTATACATATACTAATGTTTATTGAAACCTTGGCTATACGAAAACTGAAACGCTCTTTATGTGTTTAAAAACAATTTATTCTTGCGCTTAACACACCATTTTATCCAGGGTGGTTTTCATGTTATATTTGTCTCATTGACCGTTTATTTTTCACATATGATATCATAACAAGTATATATGTGATCATATTGTTCGAAACGTATTGCACAAATATATCACGTAATTCTGATAACCTCCATCTTATTTCATGATCTTGGTATTATTCCGTTTATTATTATTATAACCATGTAAGATGAATTATCTTCTATCTCTTTATCACCATTTCTTTTTGCTAACACTTTTTTCAGAATTATTAAAATGTTTGGTTCGGACTGAAAATTCAAGGCGAGAAACAAATCGAGAAAACGGGAATATATATGTTTATAGTCCTTTCGTTGAATAATGACAGTATATATGACCGGTCAAAAACTGTCGCATAGTATAGCAAAATTAATATGTATAATTCTGGAAATAAGAACTACATGATGCTTTCCTCACAGAGTTGTTAGTGACGTGAAGCATAAGACGTGAGAAAACTGCATGATCAGCGATGGCATTACTTTACGATGCAGTACTATTTTCGGAAATACACCATATTGTTTATTAGTATTGTAGGCATAGAGTTGTGTTTATCAAATTACCATATAAACAAAATCTAAATTCGCCAAGAGGGTGACATAAACACAACATAGTGCATGTTTTAAAATGATAGATATCATATCTTTTCGATCGAGGCAAACTAAGTAGTGTATTCTCTACTCTACAGCAACACGTTCTCATTCATTACTGACTGACAGATATTTTTTACTGTTTAGGACTATATTCAACTGAAAGATTGTATAAAGCGTCCACATTTTTGATGATAACCGAGTTTAGTGAAGTGACGCAAATGTGAATGCAATGAACCAATGGGTTCGTTGCATCCTACACAAATATTTAACTGTTTTTTATTATTTTTAGTAGTCACTGCAGCTTATTGTCTACATATTCACCATGTAAGGTTGCATTAATTTTTTTAGCATTATTTTCAGAGTCATTATTACGATAATTAAATATAGGTAAATAGGCTTCCATTAATCGAACATAATGAAACAAAAAACGGAATAGGCATATATATATAATGATAAACGGAATTTGAAAAGAACTATTTATAATCGTTCTACACATTTCTGGTATCTCCATAATCCTACAGTTGATTAAACTCAAAACCTTCAGATTTTAATAGTAAGCTCCATATTACTGAATCATTAAATTGAAATTTAATCATTCACAGATATCATTACCAACGTTTGACTTGATAATTTCGAATAAATTGAGCATTGAGTAGATTGTTAGAAATAAATTAGTATATTTGTAATATCCTAATGAGTAGAAAAATTAGATTTTCTGACGTTTCGTGACTCAATATAAGTCACTTCTTGAGAGGAAAAATAACCAAATTAAAATTAATCCAAGTTTAAATAGTACAATGGAACAACAACAATATATATATATATATATATATATATATATATATATACCATATTTGATTAAGCTATATGTAAATTTTGCTTAATTTCAGGAAAAATTTTCATGATTGACTAATGTTAGCTTCGAATTTTTTTCCTCGCACTTGAAATGTTGAAAACGACTCAATTACTTACGCATGTTACTCCTCATGGAAGAGCATAAACCGCTTATCAGCATTCTCCATCCATCACATCAATAACATTTATCAGTTCTAAAAGTCATACGATATTATATCCAACTATTTATCTATTGAGAATTTTCATTTTTTTTGTTTGTTTTATTTAAATTAAATTAACAGAATATGGATAAATCAAATCAATGTTTAGAAGATAATGTATTTTTTGGTGCAAACTTTCCAAATATCAAAGAATTTAAGTGGACTACTGATTCATTGAATTCACCTTTACGTAGTTCTTCATATGGTCGTTTATCTAAAAATCATCCAATTGCTCCAAAAATTATTCATCCTCAAACAAATGAAAATTCATCATTGATAACTCTTTCTCATTTGTCTGAAGCAAATGGAATTAAGTCAAGATCTGTTTTACATATACGTCGTAAATTAGTTTTACAATTGTTTCAAGAATATGGTTTGTTTCCATCAAGTATGTGAATTGTATTTATGTAACAAGTATAGTGCATATGTAATCATAACCATATATATTTATAAGCAGAGATGAATGATGGCTAGCAGTGGAATCCAGAACGCGCGTTTCGTCCTATTTGAGACTCATCAGTTAGATGTATCTGCATCCTAGAGTTGGTGTTCACTCATACATATTTATTGTACAACATAAATTCTTAAGAGAAAGAAAAGTGATAATCTAATGAAAATGATTATTTTCCTATAATTGTAAAAGTGCTTGTACGTTTGTTGCGCGGGTTTCGCTCTGTAATGAACTTTTTTCTTAGACGATGGTCAGTTTTGACGACTGCGGTTTCTGTGTTGAAGTTGAATTTCATCACGAATTGATGTCAGCTAGAAACCACCTATAAACAGTTAGTTGTTGAGTCTAACAGGTTTTCACATTCTGTAGGTATGACATAAAATTCAATGGTACTACATCAGAAACATGTAACACTTATTCTTGTTTAAATAATCGTCAACTTTAAATCCCGAACGTTCGGAAACATATTTCTTCATGTGTGTTCATATGTTATTGTTTTCTAACTTAACTTTTCATTTCTTTTTTTCTTGTTTTTATTTAACTTTTACATCCAGTTCCTGTGATTACTCATTTTCAACAATGTTATGCTTGTTACTTCCCTAGTCGTCAAGCTTTACAATTGAAAATACGTGAAATTCGTCGACGAATTATGCAAACCGATTCTCATCTATTTCAAAAAACTATCATCAAAGATAATTATGATTATTTAAATAATAAAAAGAATATTGATAATGATGATGTGATTGAATTAACAAAAATAAAATGTTCATTAAGAACTATTTCAAAACATTCTATGCCTATTGTTAAATCAACTAATACCTTATATGAATATACAAATAGATGTTATAATGATAATAACAATACTAATACTAATTCATCTTTATCAAATCCATTAACAGTTTAATACTCTTTATTTTCTTTACATTGGAATCTATCATTATTATTATTATTTGACTTATGTTATCATCTTTTTTCATTGATTAAATCTTTCATCAATTTCATACATATTTCAATAGGGTTAATTTTTAATCATTAATTTATTGACTAATATTGTTCCAGTGAATTTTAACTTGTCATTTTATGTTTTTATTTTATTTATTTGTTTATATGTTCTAATATTTATTTACTCATTTTCATAGTATCTATCCATATATATATACTAGTTTCATATTATGCTTTAAATAAACACTCTAGTTAACATACACACATCATGATCTTATTACACTTTCTCTTTTTTGTTCTTGTTGATCATCTCTCCTTTTTGTTCTTCTTCGACTTCCATTTTCTTGTTATATGCTGTTCTATTTTTAATTAGCTTACATATTCATTCTATGCTTATTATACCAAAGCTCTGCTCATTCACATGTGTGCAATTAAATTGTCTTTATAAAATGCCTTCTTCTTTTCTTTTTATTAATTAAACGTATTTCCTGTAATACACTGCTTTGTTTAATTATATATATATATATATATATATATATATATATATATATATATATATATATATATATATATATATATTATGGGGATTTTTATTAATTTAAACTTTGTTTTTCTCATTTTATTGTTATTTATGAAAATATGGGTTTGGTATGTGTTGTGAGTTGAATGTTATTAGTGACTTAAAGGAATCGAACTAAATAACTAATATTTTCTGGTTAGTGTTTCTTAAGCGAGTTGGTTTTCTGCTGGATGGGGTCGCTAGCCCCATGCCTAACCCTCCTCCTTTATCTGGGCATCGGGCCGGTAGTAGCCCCAGAGGGGCTCCAGGCGGAGTTAAATAACTAATATATCATTTCTAAAATCTAACAGAATAAGCTGAAGGCAACAATTTGTGGAAATATTTCTAATAAAGTTTAAACATAAATAAAAAAACAATAACGAACGATTTTAACCAAAAATAGTGATTCGTGCTGTAAGTTTGTACTATAAGATTATCAATCAATGAGTCACATAACACTTTTTTCTACCTAGTTGTGTTGTTCTGTCCTAATCTATGATCAACTTTATTTACTAAGTGATAACAATTGGTGATCGGAGATAAAAACGGAAGATTCCCAAAGTTGATCAACTAACCGAAAGAGCTACATCTAGAATAATTATGACTGAGTTATAAATACGAATTATTCACATAATATACGAAATCAGAATTCAAGAAAAGAAAAGAAAATCTTAAGTATTATACCCTTTTATTGTTTAAAAGCTTCTACTTTTATTACTTTTTTTACAAAACTTTAAAACCTAGAGTGATACACTTTCCAAAAGTAAAACTGTCGATTGTAAATTACTTACTAAAACCTGTTACCCCACGCCGTGAAGAAGCATAGGCCGCCCATCAGCATTCTCCGTCTTGAGCAATCCTTTCATGTTCTTATCCATCCTTTTGATGTCTGTTTCCGACTCCCGATGCAGTGTGTTTCTTGGTTTTCTTCTTTTCCGTTTCTCTTTGAGATTAGAAGTTAGTGTTTGCCTCATGATACAGTTTTATTATTTTCGCAATGTATGTCCTATCCACTTCTAACATCTTTCCCTAATTCCCTCCTGAACTGGAAGTTGGTTTTTTCTCTCCCAGAGTAGGTTGTTGCTGATGGTATCCGGTCAACAGAAATTGGGTAACTTACGTAGACAATTATTTATAAATATTTGTACTGTTTTGATGATGGTTGTGGTGGTCCTCGAAGTTTTAGCTCCGTTCAGAAGATTGTCTTGACGTTCGTATGGAAGATTGTGACTTTCATACTGGCTGAAATTTGTTTTGAAGCATACTTGCAGTTACTTCTATGTCTGTCCTTAGTGCTTCGGTTGGTATATTGTCAGGTCCTGTTGCTTTCCTGCTCTCGATTTGTCTGATGGCCATCCTGATTGCTTCGATCGCTGGTGGAGTGATATCTATGAAAAGGTCTATGTATGCTGCCTGGATGTTAGATGGGTTCAGTGGAGCTGGTCTATTCAAGAGTTCCTCGAAGTGTTTCACCTATCTGTCCTCTGTTCTCGGATCTCAGTGATCGACTTGCTTTCTTTGTCCTTGACTAGTCTACCTGGCTTACAATATTTCCCTGATAGTTTCTTCGTAGTGCCACATAGATGTCTCATATTTCCTTTTGTTGCAGCTTTTTAGATGTCTTTGCTAGGTCTTCCACGTATTTCTGCCTGTCGACTCTAATACTCTTCTTCACTTGCTTGTTTGCTTCTTTGTATTCGATCTGTGCCTTGACGTTCTCTGTTCTCTTTAGGCTGTTGTTGATTGCTATCTTTCTGTTCTTTCTTTCTTGAGTCTTGTCCAGAGTTTCGATAGAGATCCATTTTTTATGACAATACTTCTTGAGGCCAAACACCTCCAGACACTTTGAATTTTATGCTTGTTTGATTTCTTTCCAATTGCCCTCCATAGTAGTTTCTTCTTCTTTGAGTGGATCTTGTAAGGCTTGGAACATTTTGTTGGGAAGTATCTTAAATTGGTTGAGTTTGTCAGTGCTTCGAGGGAATGCTATATTGAAACTTTGTAACGCTGTTTGTTCAGTCGTCCATTGCTTGTTTAGCTTCAGTTTAATCTTGTTAACCACCAGGTGGTGATCTGAAGATATGTCAGTTTATCTCATGTTTATCATGTCTTCCATTGACCTTGTGAATTTCTTGGTGATACAAATATGATCTGCGGAGATTCGCTTAGTCCTCCCGGTCTCTCACATTTTTCGGACATTCCATGTACCTACATTAATGGTTATTCTTGTTTTTGGAAAGGGCCTCGTGACTTCCGAAGAATATCGGATTTCACCATAAAGTATCGTAATTGTTTGATGGGAAGATTCCTGAACTGGGAGTGTAGATTTGAAATGATTCAAATTATTTACATATGTTATCATTCTTTTTAGTAATGTCGCTATTTACGGGATGGGGTTATTAATCCCATGCATAGGTTGAATGTCGTCTTTCTATATCTATACTTCATATGCCGAATATCATTCATAATATTGGTATCTCCATTAATTTCTTTATTATAATTAATAGAATTACAATTGAGGATCCCACCACAGGAATCCCAACTTTGAATCCGATGTTTGTTGGAAACCCCAAACTAAGCGTTGAGGATGCATCTCGGGATGATGCATATTGTGTTGGCCACATTACTTAGACATCAAGTGTGAATGCTTTACTGAACAACTACGATTTTGTTCTATCCCATGTTTCTCTCTGGTGTTAACTGCATGTGACAAAAGGGCAGCATTAACTTGTATTCAAGAACACCGGGTGGTGGAGAGTAATCTGATTGTACCTAATGCTTTGTACTAGTTACAGCAAGCTACTCGGCATTCGAATACAACTTTTATGGCAGTTGGGTCCACTTTTGTCATGTCAATGCAGTAATCAAACAGTACCACAGAATCATGATGAACGTCTCACGCCCTTGGTTCTGGCCTGCATTGCCTTATGGTGTAGAAAACATTCTTTAATTAGACATACTAGTGTGGAATACAAGACCCAACAAACAACACCAAAGTCATTATGATCACGTTACCAGAACAAGTGACAAAGGAACTATCAGAAATGTGACCAAAGATGTCAGTACCGAAATACCGGCCATAACTCGAATGAATTAGGACGCGAAACAAGTTCACTGAAAGCCTCATACCCATCGGTTGCAAACAACGACGTGGAGTACTGAAGGACTGATAGGAGCAATGGTAACTAAACAGCAACAACCGCATCAAGACTTTGGATCATGTAAAGAACATCAAACAATATTGCCAGACTTTTCAACGCTTCTGTAACTGAGAGAAATCTACTGCAAAGTAGGAAAGCTTTCTGTAGGCAGCAGTGAGATAAACACTATAACTTGCTTGTTCAGGGAATTATTCCAGCTCAATTCAGCCTGCAAACTTGGAGCTAAAGCGACATAAAGAATATCCATACCACACTTGCCGGGATAAGAACTCATAATGTATCAGAAACCGAGCATGAGGTGGTCTATGGAAATTGGAATCTTACACAAACCATGCACTACATGAACTCAGATTTTTCGGTAATAAGAGATAGAAACCATCACTCCAACGTTTACCTTATATGCTGCAGTCCAATCACTTACAAATTCTTACTCAAAGCCTTTAATTCAGCGAACAGCCACATTTGAAGTCTCTAAATGCCGTACTTATTTATTATTTATTTGAACACATAAGTATCGTTACAAAGGCGCCAAACAACAATAATGAGGCCGAGAACAGATACGACATGTTCAGTATACATAAGAAAAAGGAGAACGATAACGAACAGAAATTGGTGTATGAGAGTAAAATAACCAGATTCAGGCAGTTCAGATAGGTAAAATACAGCCAGAAGGAATTCTTTCAGTTAAAGAAGTTACGTTGATTTTATATGAAGAAAGTGAGAGAAAATTACAACAGCATAGCCACTTGCTTCCATTTTGAGCCATATCTGATTAGATCTCAAGCCATTGCGCCGCACCATCTCCGATTTCTCTAGCCAGTCTTAGCCTCGGCAAATGAGGCACATCGTGGGATTCTCTGAGATGAGATTCGTAGGACATGTCCAAGCCACTGAGGTCTACGTTCCAAAATAGTGACACAAATTGAATTATTGTCACTGTTCCCGAACACACGATGCCGGACCTCTACAGTACTAACACGGTGTCGCCACTTGATATCATTAATCTTTAGGACGATCAAATACACAGAGTCGTCTAAAAGTCTCAACTCGGAGAGGTCAGATCTCAAAAACATAGTGCGAAACTGCTCTCAGCAATGCATTGTTTACTCGACCCTTTACAGTCAGACTAACATCACGAATACTCTAAAGGTAGCCTCCATTGGTATATGCCGCTCTGGCTTTCACTTAACGTGAGTTGATCTCATCACTCACGTCACCACCAGCACTTACACAGATACTTATGTATATGGACTTCCCAACTACTTCTATCCACTCACTACCCAAGGTGTTTGCGGTATTAGGGTCCTGCCAGTCCCGTTAAAGTACTCTGCACTTGTAAGGTGTAAAGTACACACCATACCTTTTGGACACCGATTGTCAACTGATTAATTGCGGAGTGCATGGCCTGTGTATCATGGCACAGCAACACTACAGTGCCGTCATAATCAACTTGACGCCGGTTTGATACTAAATCGAGTAAGACTCGCGCACCCAAGGTATTGACAAACTGAAAGATGATTCAGAAAGAAGGCGGCCTAAACTGATCGGGAAATACATATAATAATTCCGAGATGTTTGGTTTAATTTTTAACACCCTAAAAGTTACAATCCATGTGAATATTATTTAAGAGTTGAACAAAGTGGGATTATCACAATGAAGAATTATTTAATACAGGGGTATTAAATACGTCACAATAAAAGGCATAGCAACAACTGTTGGTTAAGAGCTTAACATACTAGTACTTCTTTTGTT